ATGGGGGTGGGAGTAAGGGGAGAGATATGGTCAAGATACATTGTATGCAAGATAGGCATGGTGGCCCAATCCTTTAATCCCAGAACTTTGGAGGCAAAGGCAGGCTGACCTCTATGAAATCTAGGCTAGCCTGGTCTACATGGTGACTTCCAGGCCAGCTGGGACTACAGGGAGACCCTATCTCAAAACAACAAGAAGAAAGATGCATTGTATGCATACATAAAATTGTCAAAGATTAAAAAATTAAAAAGCTGGACTTGAGGTCAACAAGATGGTACAGTGGGTAAAGGCACTTGCCATGTAAGCCTGATGATCTGAGTTCAATCCCTAGAAACCACATAAAGGTGGAAGAAAAGTAACTCTACAAGTTGTCCCGACCTCCACAAGTAACACTGTGCGGCAAGCATGACCCCCCCGAAACATGTACACACACACACACACACACACACACACACACACACACACACACACACATATGCTGGGCCTGGTGGCAAATGCCTGTAATCTCAGTACTCAGGTGACAGAGACAGGGGTATCCCCTCAAGCATGAGGTCACTCTGGTCTACACTGAGAGTTCCAGGCCAACCAGGCTTATCCAATAAGGTCCCATCTCAAAACAAACAAATAAACAAAAACCCAAAAAACAAAAACAACTTGTTATCTTGAATATTTTTATAAGCAGGCAGTTTACTTTGTGCCAATTATTACACAATAAGAAAAAAAATAGTATTTTTTTTTTTGAGGCCATGTCTCCCTATGAAGACCAAGCAGTCCATTTACTTGCAATCCTCCTGACTCTGCCTTCCAAGTGCTAAAATTATAGGCATGTGCCACCATACAGGGCAAAAAGTTTCAAGAGGCATTAAAGTTTTTGTTTTTACTTAAAAAAAATGTTTTATTATTTTTGTTTTATGTGCATGAGTGTATCACTTGCATGTATGTGAGTGCACCCGTGTCATGCAATGCCACGGAGGTCAGAAGAGGGTTTCAGATTCCCCTGGAACTGGAGTTAAGGATGGTTCATAGCCGCCGTGTGAGTGCTGAGAATCGAACCCAGATTCTCTGCAAGAGCAGTCAGTGCTCTTAACCACTTAACCATCTCTCCAGCCCTGGCATTAAAGTTTTTTAAATTATGATATACAGCAGAATCTGTATTCAAATGGTCACATCTTTAAATAACAATATAAGAGATTTTGCTTCTATTAGTTTTGAAGTTTCTGCTACTTTTTTTTTCTTTTTTCTTTTGGTCTTTTTGAGACAGGGTTTCCCTGTAGCTCCAGCTGTCCTGTAACTCACTATGTAGACCAGGCTGGCCTTGAACTCACAGAGATCCGCCTGCCTCTGCCTCCCAAGTGCTGGGATTAAAGGCGTGCACCACCACACCCGGCAGTTTCTGCTACTTTTAACATTTATACAGACTAAATTTAAATGCATTCAACTTGCAAGAAAGGCTACAAGGAGCCAGGGCAGAGTAGAGGTGCAGGCAGGTACACATAGGGCCAGATGCTGAGCATGACAGAGGGTCAAGTGCATATATTAACCTCCCTGGACCCCCAAGAGAGAAGGAACTAGCATTGTCTGGAGAGAGGAATAGAGTCCAGAAGGCAGACTCTGGCCACAGGTCTCTCAGCCAGGAGCAAAGTGAGAACAAAGCCCAAGCCAGGCTGCCCTTCCCTGCAGCTGCAGCCTCCAGCCTCTGGTCAGGCCCAACGCAGTGGACAGGGAGTACCCACCCAGCCATACCTGCTGGTGGCTACAGGGGGCATGTGGTCAGAAAAGGAAAAGATGCGGTACAGGTAGTCATTCAGTAGCTTCTCATGCACAATGCCTGGATCATAATTCAAAAGGGAGAAAAAGAAACAAGTGGTTAGAACAGCTCTTGGTCCTTACTATTCCACAAATGTCTGGCCTTTGGGCAGCCACAGGTGTCAGAAGAGCAACCACATTTGATGTACTGCTCCATGGTTGATGGTGAAGAACTAGCTCACAGGAACAAGAGGCATGAAAGGCCTGAGGTTCATTGGACCTGGGACCTTGCTATATTTTCCCCTTCCTTCTCCTTACCCCAGCACAAAGAACCTCCTGCCTTGCCCTGCCAGCCCTTACCTGTGACCCTGGATTTCTCAGCATCTAAGGTCAGTCTATAGCTCTTGCGGGAGAACGACATGCCAGTCCCCTTGGATGCCATCCTTCATCACTCATGTGGTCCTGGAGGCTGAGCCAGATGCAGAGTGTGTCTACTCAAGGTCAGTCAAAAGGCCACACAGACCTCAGTCCTGAAATGGTAGGAAGGCTTGGGAGGTAAAGCTGAACAATGCACATTCACATACACACCAACCTAGGGTGGGGGAAAGCATGGGCTCCCAGCTGCCCTGCTGGGTAGATGGGTCTATGCCTATGTGGCAGCACCATCACATCCCACCCTCTGTCCTAGTGCCCCTGAGGAACTAGCAGAGAGCATATGCAAGGCATGTTTGCTGAACCGTAACTAAATGCTTTGCTCTGGGGAAACAAGACCAAAATTTCCAAACTGAGATCGCCTAGAGTAAAAAACTCATTTATCTATCTTGGTTACTGGGTTCGGCTGATATCTAAAAGAGAGGATTTTATAAGACATTCTTTCAAGTACAGTCCATTACCAGTCTGGCCATCTTCGGTCACAGTCCCTCTCACTCCCCCCAAGGCTGAGATTTTTTTTACTTAGCCCAATTCCTCCCTTCTCCTGTTTACAGTCCCACCAGCTTTCTTGTTCCACTCACACATATATATGGCTTCCCTACCCCATGCATGTACCACCCCAGCCAAGATCATTCTATTGGTCTTCTACTGCTGTCCATTCCTCATGTTGCATGTTATTGCTGCAGCTGCTCCAGAACCTGCACTAAATCCCTGGTGTCTGACTCAGTTTAGATAGTTGTGCTGTACAACACAGCAGTCAGGAGCCACATGTAGTTCTTCAAGTTTAAAAGATTAAAGATTGAGTATTTCATAACATTATACACATTATACGTATTACATTAGCCATTTTTCTTTCTTTTCTTCTTCTTCTTTTTTTTTTTTTTTTTTTTTTTTTTTTTTGGGTCTCCCTGTAGCCCCAAGCTGACCTGGAACTCACTACATAGACCAGGCTGCCCTCTATCTCACAGAGATCCACCTACCTCTATCTCTTGAATGCTGGGACTAAAGGCATGTCTGGTGCCACGCCTGACTCATTGGCAGATTTATAACACATTCCCTAAACACAATTTCAAATAATTCTCTGTACTGTTCACTTCATGGGGAATGAATGCCTTTCCTTCCTTTTCTGATTTCTACTATGTAGCTCTGGCTGGCCTGGAAATTGCTATAAAGGCCAGGCTAATCAACTCACAGATATCTGTCTGCTTGCCTCTACCTCCTGAGTCCTGGGAAAGAGTCTGGTGACCACATGTGGCTGCACTAAACTGGCAAATACAGGTGCAGTACATCTCCGCCACCACAGAAAGTCCCCTCAGCGCCTGTCTAGAACTTGGCCTTTCCGAATTGCCAGAGCCAGCCCTTCTCTCTGCAGTCCACTCTTATCACACCCCAAACAGGCCCTGTTCACCCGCCACAAACCCTTGTCTATCTGCACCAGCTTAGGTCGGAAAAGTGACTCTCCGGCCATGCCACCCACTGAGACCCCTCGGTGGGCATTCACGACCAGTGCCTCTTATATTGGAACAACTGCAGGACTGACTGGACGCGATCTTTCACACCTGGAAGCCAACCTTCCAGACGCCCACTCTGGGTGTCAAACGTTGGGGACTCAGAAGCTAACCTGCGCTTGCCCGGGGGACTCCCTGCCACTACAGTCCAACCCAGCCCTCCCAAAGGATCCAGGCTCAGAACCGACCCGACTCTGGGAGGCGAAGGACGCCAAGGGCAGGGCAGGGCTCCCCCAGGTTGTCCCCGCCTGGCTCCAAGCTCCAGAGGACCTGTCAGGCCAGCTCCAGCCCAGTCCTACTCCGCAGTACGCAGCACCTCCCGGTGGCAGGCGCTGCCGTACTGGGTCGGGCCTGGCCTCGAAGGGAGCCACGGGCCCCGCCCGGCTCAAAGCCGGGCCGCCCCTCACTCACCCACAGCCTCAGCTGCCGCGACCGGCTCACAACATCCGCCCAGCCTTTTCGGCTACGGCGCCCGTCCAGGACCAAACCGCGTGCCCGCTCGCGCGCCGCTCTTCCAGCCGCGCACGCGCACAGACACAACCCGCGCCAGGCTATTATTGCTAGAGAAAACCTTCCACGGCGTTCCGCCGGGTTGTTCACTTCTATTTCGCCAGGAGAGCCACCTGTCTCAAATCCCCCGCCTTTTCTGGGGGTGTTCCTAAACCCAACTGTAGCAGGAGGCTATGTCCTAACCGGGATCCCTAGGTCACCATCTCAACTCCTACCTTGCTTGGATGAGGGCTGGCCAAGAATATCTGAAAGGCCACGTCTGTCAGCAAACCTGCTACCTGCCACCCCCACCCCGAGACCCAATGGGAAGTCTTGCTTATCTTCCCTGGGATGATACATCTAATAGGCAGTGAGCCTCCCTAGGATCTACTGCCAGGGGTGTGGTGTGATCTGCCTACAGCTGGACCCAACTGATAAAGCAGTATTAAAAAGGGTGAGGAAGCCTTAAGGGTGGGGAGGTTATGTTCCCCACTTTACAGGGAGAAACTGAGGCTCAGAAAAGTATAATGTCACTATCAAGATCCTGGAAAATTCCTACTGCCTTTGGTCAGAGTAGGCTACAGGGAGGCTTTACCCTATACCCCAGGGTGCCTAATAAGTTCCCACAGAACCCTCCTAAATCCTGCTCACTAAATAGGGAGGCCTCTCAGAGGTCTAGCTTCACTAAGAAGAGGGCCCTTGAACTTAACCCACAGGACCTGAGGTCTGACACCCCCTGGCTCCTGTCACCTGGTCTCAGTCAGGCCCAAGCATGGTTGGAGTGGGGGTGTGGAGTCAGAGCCACCCAATCCTGTGGGGATAGATTTCACAATTTCCGGGATGGGGCTGTGGTGGGGCACAGTGCAGCCTCCAGCCAGGAGGATGGGGTGGCTCCCACTCTTGCTGCTTCTGACACAATGTTCATGGGCTTTTGGTAAGTGTCACCCACCCTCATCGCCTTTTACTTTCAGGAGGGAGTTGGTCCCAGGCCCATGTGACTATTCTTGCCCAGAATTTACTTTCCTACTGGGCAGAGATCAGTGACCTTGGCCTCTTGAGCACAGTCAAGAAGGCTTGGGATTCATATATACACTGCCTGATCAGGCCTATAGTGCTACAGAGTGTGCTGTAGCACTGAGGCAGTGTTGGGACTGCACAGATGAACACAGAAATGACTCCTGAGCTGGATCTTAATAGCTTAATAAGCCTTTATGCTGGTTGAAAGCCCAGACTTGGAGTCAGAATGATAGGCTGGGCCCATCCCTGGGTAGGGGTCATAGCTCTGAGTCCAAGCATTCTCAATTGAGAGATGAGATAGGGCAAGCTTCATAGAGGAAGTGCCATCCCTCGAATTCTCATGGAGTGGATATGTTAGCCCTCAGCCTAATGCCTGGCCTATTAAACCTCTATGCCTGGGTCTGCCTCTCCAATTCTATGCAGGGGTTGGGGATTAGGTAGACCCTTGAAAGTACACATAAGGCTCATCCCAGAGGCCATGAAATCGATCCCCTGGATGAGCAAAATATAGAACGTGACAAAATATATGCAGTGATATGCATGGTCACTTAACCTGTGCTCACCCCACAGGGCAGCGCTCACCACTGAATGACTTCCAGCTGCTCCGGGGCCGAGAGCTAAAGAATCTTCTACATACAGTGGTGCCAGGGCCTTGGCAGGAGGATGTGGCAGATGCTGAGGAGTGTGCTAGGCGCTGTGGGTCCCTTCTGGACTGTCGGTGAGTGTCTAAGTGACATAGATATGCTGGAGGTATGAGAATCTGGGCTGCTGGGTAACCTTGTACCTGCTCCCCAGGGCCTTCCACTACAACATGAGTAGCCATGGTTGCCAGTTGCTGCCATGGACCCAGTACTCACCCCACATACAGCTGCACCATTCTAGTCTCTGTGATCTCTTCCAGAAGAAAGGCAAGTGGCTGTGAGGTGGAGCAACCTGGATAATAGGGACCTGCAGCCTCAGTCCCTGTTGACCTTTCCTCTCTTGCTTCCAGACTACGTTCGGAACTGCATCATGGACAATGGGGTCAGCTACCGGGGCACTATGGCCAGGACAGCAGATGGCCTGCCCTGCCAAGCCTGGAGCCACAAGTTCCCCAATGACCACAAGTGAGACAGACCCATTCCCACTAGGCCTGCAGACAGAATTCTCCTGGCATACACTTTAGTGAGGCTCTCTACCTACAGGTATACACCCACACCAAAGAATGGCCTGGAAAAGAATTTCTGTCGGAACCCTGATGGAGACCCCAGAGGTCCCTGGTGCTATACAATAAATCATACTGTGCGTTTCCAGAGTTGTGGCATCAAGTCCTGCAGGGAAGGTAATCAGCACAGGGTCAAGCCTCGGGAGGGAGGGACAGGTCTACTCCTACCCAGGAACCCACTGGCGCTGTTTCCAGCTGTTTGTGTTTGGTGCAACGGCGAGGATTACCGCGGGGAGGTAGACCGAACGGAGTCGGGACGCGAGTGCCAACGCTGGGACCTGCAGCACCCTCACTCGCACCCCTTCCAGCCTGGCAAGTACGCGTGGGCAGAATCCTCACGTTGGGGGTGGAGCTCGGGCCTACAGGGGCGGGGCCAAAATCCCAGGGTCTAGTTTACGCCCAGTTACCGCCCCCCAGTTTCCTGGACAAAGGTCTAAAAGACAACTACTGCCGTAATCCTGATGGATCTGAGCGGCCCTGGTGCTACACCACAGACCCACATATCGAGCGAGAATTCTGCAACCTCCCCAGTTGCGGTAGGCCGCAGGGACAGGGCCTAGGAAAGCACACGGAACTGGCAGGCGTGGCTTGATTGGGGGAGGTTCTACAGGATTGGGGGAGGAACAGGCCGCGGGTAGAGCCACGCCTGTTAAGTATAGAACCCGGGAAAGGCGAACCCAGTCACAGCACCAATCCCAGCTTCTGGTCAGAGCCCAACCAGCCACGGCCCATCCAAAGATCCAAAGCACACCAGCACAAGGGCAAAGCTTTAAACTGCTTCCGCGGGAAAGGCGAAGACTATCGAGGCACAACCAATACCACCTCTGCTGGTGTGCCCTGCCAGCGTTGGGACGCGCAGAGCCCGCACCAACACCGCTTCGTGCCGGAGAAATATGCTTGCAAGTGAGGAGAGGCGGGAGCTGGAGGTGGTCTGCTTTGGGTGAGGGTGGAGCTTTGAGGGTGGGGCCTGGGTGGAGCCAAAGGCGGGGACTCCGCCCATGCAAAGGGAAGTGTCTGATCAGGGACCTTAGGGAGAATTTCTGCCGGAATCCTGACGGCTCGGAGGCGCCCTGGTGCTTCACGTCGCGACCTGGTTTGCGCGTGGCCTTCTGCCACCAGATCCCACGCTGCAGAGAGGAAGTGCCCCCAGAGGGTGAGGCTGGAGCAGGGGTTCAGGGTCGGGCAGGAATCGCTGAGCCAGAGAGCCAGGACTGATTGCAGCTCTTGCCCACCCGCCACAGGCTGCTATCACGGCTCAGGACAACAGTACCGCGGCTTGGTCAGCAAGACCCGCAAGGGCGTCCAGTGCCAACACTGGTCGGCGGAGACACCACACAAGCCACAGTAAATCTGTGGGCGCATAAACCCAGATTGGGCCTTAACTCTAAAGCAACATGTCCTAGCTTCTGGGACTTGAGCCTGCTATCGGTTTTATTCTTCCCTCCTAGATTCACACCTATCTCAGCACCGGAAGCTGGATTGGAGAAAAACTTCTGCCGAAATCCAGATGGGGATAGCCATGGACCCTGGTGCTATACTACGGACCCAGCGACCCTGTTTGACTACTGTGCCCTACACCGCTGCGGTGAGTGCTGAAGGCCCATCTCCTTGGTTCGACCTCCAAAGGCTGGCTTCCTTAACCTGATGAACTTGGTTTTGCAGATGATGACCAGCCACCATCCATTCTGGACCCCCCAGGTACTGGCTTGGGCTACTTGTGGGTGGAGCTTCTTTGCCCCTACCCACTCCACCAAAGATGGTTTCATCCTGTTCAAACCATTCCCAGACCAGGTGCAATTTGAAAAGTGTGGCAAAAAGGTGGACAAGAGGAACAATCTTCGCGTGGTGGGGGGCCATCCTGGGACCTCACCTTGGACAGTGAGCTTGCGGAACCGGTGAGGCAAAAGTGTTTGTCTCCTCAAGAGAGGGGCTGAGGCTCTGTGGTCATGTCAGTAGAGGATGGATACCTGTCCCTGGTCCCAGAGGTCCTAGCCAGAAGTGGCAGGTCCAGCATGTGCTCTAGGACTGTTACTACTCCTGATCCCTACTCCTTCAGACAGGGCCAGCATTTCTGTGGAGGGTCCCTAGTGAAGGAGCAGTGGATACTAACTGCCCGGCAATGCGTCTGGTCCTGGTGAGCCTCCTTTGGGTTTAGGGACCCAGTCTCCCCACTTGCCTCCATCCTGCCAACCATCCCACCACCACCACTTGTCCCAGGGAAGCCAACAAGGGAACTATGAGACAGTGGAGTAAGAGTCGAGAATAATCTAGCAGTTTCTCTTCCAGTCATGAACCTCTCATAGGATATGAGGTATGGTTAGGGACAATCAACCAGAATCCACAGCATGGGGAGTCAAACCTGCAGCAGGTCCCAGTAGCCAAGACAGTATGTGGACCTGTAGGCTCCCAGCTTGTCCTGCTCAAGCTGGAGAGGTATGTAGACAAGTTGAGTGGGTGTGAGGTGGGGCTAGGCCTTGTGGTCATAGACCCTGAGTGCCATTATTCCTGCTAAAGACCTGTGACCCTGAACCATCATGTGGCCCTGATCTGTCTGCCTCCTGAGCAGTATGTGGTGCCTCCAGGGACCAAGTGTGAGATTGCAGGCTGGGGTGAATCCAAAGGTAGGAGCACAGTGCAGACATGAACTGCTTCAGGCTAGGAGGCCCAGCCCTGGTTTCTGCCCAAAGGCTCCTCTCCTCACTGTTCTCCTCCCTCCAGGTACAAGTAATAACACAGTCCTTCATGTGGCCTCAATGAAGGTCATCTCCAACCAGGAATGTAATGTGAAGCACCGAGGACAGGTACAGGAGAGCGAGATGTGCACCGAGGGATTGCTGGTCCCTACAGGGGCTTGTGAGGTCAGTGGTAGGACTCCTAGACCACTCAGGGAGGGTGTGGGAAGCTGGAAATGTACTATTTGATCACCACAGGGGGCCTAAGTCACTGTCATGGTCCAGAGCCCTCACTATTGTTCTACCTACCAGGGTGACTACGGGGGCCCGCTTGCCTGCTTTACTCATAACTGCTGGGTCCTGGAAGGACTTATAATCCCCAATCGAGTGTGTGCACGGCCCCACTGGCCAGCCATCTTCACACGTGTGTCTGTTTTTGTGGACTGGATTAACAAGGTCATGCAGCTGGAGTAGATCTGGCCTTGATCCTTTGCTTTTTTCCTGTCAAACATAAAGCCGCCTTTTCTCTGTGCCTGTATAGAGTGCTTCTTAGTTTCTGCTTCTAGGGAATGAATTGGTGACTCTTACAAGAGTCTGGGTGGCTCAAGATCAGCTGGGCTGGGTGTTCTGACCCTGGAAAGACTTGAGCCTGTGTGCACTGTGGAAGGGCAGGGTCTCACTCATCTTCCAGATGTACTCCTGGTAATAGAAGGGTAGTGAAGAATACTTTACAGCTGAAAGACTAGAGCAGAAAGAGCTATCCTTTCAGATATCCTGGTTCAGAGTCTTGGTTGGCCAGGACAGGCAGGGGCTGAGGTCTCTAACAGTTCCTCTCTAACACTAGAGACAGATGAATCCCTTGTATAGCCCACACCCAAGGGCTAGAGTATCTACACTCCAGGGCTTGGGCTGGGATTGGGGATGGCTTGGTACAAAGTACCAGCACAAAGCAGACTCTGTGTCCTTATTTATTATAACTATGTGTCCATATTCCTCTGCCCACTCATCCACAGAGTCCAGAGCTCAGAAAGCCCAGCTGCTCTGCCAGACCCTGGAGCTCACCAAGAGCAAAGTGTGACATGGGCTGCCCAGAATGGCAGAACTTCAGCTGCCCAAGTGCGTGTGCAGCCAGAGCACAGTATTCATGAAGCTGTCTGATTCCACTTCCACCTCTGATAGTGCATGGGTGCTTTTGGGATAGAGCAGGAGCCTGTGTGGGCAGCAACATTGGAGGTTGAAGGGTTCTGCCCTTCTTACTGTATGCCCACCAGCTGTCAGGGCTATCCTGTGGCACTCACCGAACAGGAACATTCCGAGCTTTGAGGGCACGGTAATACTCCATACCCTGCTTGAAGGGTACACGCCGGTCCTCCTGGCCTAGCATCAGTAACACTGGTGTCTTTACCTGGATGTGTAGGGAGCAGAAAACTGGTGAGCTAGGCCCTGAGTTGTGGATGGATGGGCAACATGTACAAAGAGGGCTGGGTACCTGAGGGATGTACTTGATAGGTGATTTATCCAGCATCTCCTCCCATACACTGAGGTCTGGTAGGCAATCGCTGCTATAAGGGAAGCCAGCCTCCACCACACACCTATAAGAGACCAAGCTGATGCAGCCCTAGGAATTCTCGTGCCTGTAGGAACTCCACGGCAATATGGGGTAGAAAGAAGGGCATGCCAGGGACCTATCATATACACTCACCAGTCAGGGATGTCAGTAGAGCCCATCATGGAAGCAATGTTGATCACAGGGTTTCGGGCTATACAGGCACCATAGGTCTCTGGATACTGACCAATCAGGTGGCACGACAGGAACCCGCCATGGGAGCCACCCATAAGTGCCACACGGCCTGCATCAAAGTGTTCCTCCTGGAGCACCTGTTCCACTGCAAACTACAGGGTGAGGCAGAATATGCTGCAGCCAGCTGCCTGCCAGCTGAATGGAGAGCCATGCCCCTGATAATTCAGCCTCCAGCCTGCCCAGAAGCCCCAGCCCCCTCTTACTTGGACATCCTTCACATCCTGGTGGCCCACATTGCCAGGGAGGGAAAGGATGTTGTCTTGACCAAAGCCCGTGGAGCCACGATAGTTCACTAAAGGTGAGGGACAAGGAAGTCAGACAATATTCTCAGCCCTGTGGCACCATTTTGCACACCTGTGAATTGGGCCCTGGGATCAGCTGAATCATAGACTACTAAGGGGAAGTGACCAAGAGATATGAGGCTGCTACCCAAAGATCACAGCACCCTTTCCATGAAGTTACAAGTTAATGCACATGATCACTGAGTTATAGAGCCACAGGCTGGGTCAGGGCAATTCCTGGTAGTGGTTTGTAGAGAAATAACCAGGCTAAGCTGGGCATGGTGGCGCACACCTTTAGTCCCAGCACTCAGGAGGCAGAGGCAGGCGGATCGTTGTGAGTTCAAGGCCAGCCTGGTCTACATAGTGAGTTCAGGTCAGCTGGGACTACAGGGAGACCCTGTCTCAAAAAGAAAAAAAAAGAAATAACCAAGCTATAGAAAGGCCCTATAGCTCAGGCCTATCCCATCACCTCACCAAACCCTAATAGGTGCTTTATTACTTACCTAGTAGTACTGCAAAGCCCATCTTGCAAAGCAAGGCTGGAAACAGCATCCAGGCAGTGACAAAGGATGAATGAGGTCCCCCTGCAAACAGGGAACACAGGGTGAAAAGGCCAGCTAGGAGGGGTTGTAGGATGGTAAGGGCTCTTAAGTAGATGCTTACCATGAGGCATGACCACCATGGGCACCTGGGTCTTATCTGGTGGGTTGCTGGGCTGCAGAAGGATTGCTTCAAAGTCAAGGCCAGCTGTAAGAAGAAGGCAGTAGTCAGCAAGACCAGTGCTACTTCACAGGAGCTTCCCCAGTCAAGGTCTCATCTGTAGCTAAAGGTCTAAGGCTGACCAGTGAAACAGAAGCCTGGCCAAGGCAGCCTGTGCTATGAGGCAAAGACCTCTGCAATCTTGTACTCCTTCTAGCCTAGTCAGACAGTCCCAATGTCTGAGGAGTCAGCATTCTGATAAAGTGGTCATATAAGCCTTGTATGTGATCTGTTTTGTTTGAGCCTTAGTTTTTTCACCACAGATGATGTGCCTTAGTGGTACCCCATACTGATACCCACAGAAGGTGCTCTCCCTGGATGCTCCTCCCCATGAAAATTAAGAAAACTTTTTATAGGAAATCTTAGGAAACCCTGCAATGTGAACTAAGAAGGGTTACCACAGGATACTGTGTGCTGGGGACCTGGAGAAGGTATCCCTCTACCCTTGGCCCAGCTTACCATATTGCACATTCTCTTGGTCTGGAGGTGGGTGTAGCACACGGATGCCCCAGTGGATGTTAGGAATGGGTTCAGCCTCCTCCAGGGACACCCACAACACAGATTGTTCCTTCCCTGCAGGAGGCAGGAACCCAACTTTCTGCCAAGTGGAAGGAAAGTGTCACAGGCACCAGCTTTCATGACCCACCTCCAAAGGATATAGCATAGATTATTTTGAGTGGTATATGCCAAGGTACATATACCCACATATGAACAACACCTCTATTACCACGTTTCTTGGCTTTTTGTTTCTTCTGTCTCCCTATATTCTAGAATACCAGAGGACTGGGCACTTTTGTAGGCACCCTGTACAGGACAGAACAAATGCTAGCCTCTAGTTCCCACCCACGAGTGCCAGGCCCTATGGATCATACAGGGTTGGATCCAAGTCTCTGCCCCTCTACATGCTAACCAGCCATGGCCAGCCTTTGGGCCTAGTTCTCTGGCCTGGGTGCTCATAACCCCTGCCTCCCAGCCTGGAACCCACCAATACTCACCAGGCTTGGGGGCAAGCTGGGAGTGGAGAACTGAGCCACCATAAGATCTCGATCAATTGTAAGCAGCTTCCAGCTTCCACCTGACCCCCCTGAAGGAAGCAGATGCCACTAAGTACCTGACAGGAGCCATCACTTCCCTACCTGCTCCCAGCTGGAGGCTCTATGAAAAAGTGACCCTTCAACCTAGATGAGTACTTCTTACAAACACCCAACTACCTGTGCCCTGGGTTGAGCCTCCTGCTCAGTCCCTTGTTTATCTAGCAGACACTGGCTGTGCTCAACAACTGCCAGACCTAGGAATACACAAGGCTACCAAGGTATTCTACCCACTTCCACAACTACAGTGTGAAAGGTATCAGTTTGGCTGAAGGAACTGGGTAGAAGTGGGACTGGAGAGTGGGATCTAAGCCACTTCTTGATCAGCACCTATGTGATGATATGTAGGTTTATTTATTTGATTTATTTATTTACATGCATCAGGCCTTGTGTATGCCAGGTAAACACTCTACCGCTGAGTTATATACCAAGCCCGAGATGAAGAATTAGAATAAAACTTTGGGGATTAAAAAAAAAACAACAAAAAAACAGCCAGGCGTGGTGGCACACTCCTTTAGTCCCAGCACTTGGGAGGCAGATTTTGTGAGTTCAAGGCCAGCCTGGTCTACATAGTATGTTCAGGTCAGCTGGGGCTACAGGGAGACCCTGTCTCAAAAAGACAAACAAACAAACAAACAAAAAAACCCAACTTTGGTAGCTCTCTGGAGGAGCAGGTAGAGGCAAGGCAGGTGGAGCATTCAAAGGCCATTTCAGAGGCAGATACCAGGCCTAGGGTTTGGGGAAAATAGGGGAGCCAACACAGGTTTCTCCTGGGTCCTAAGGTGGCCAGAGCTGCCTCTGCCTGGGATAGGGCACCAAAGGTTTGGGAAGGGGGAAGATGACTGAGAGATCTTAGCAAGAGAGAGGTACACAGGATTTAGAGCAGGGGTGGGGCTATGGTGAGGCTGGGCCACAGCATACAGAGGTGAGTGCTAATGGGTGGCTGTATGTTGACTAGGTAAGGGCTTACATGGGCAAGATCCTTAGAGGACTGTTGGCAAAGCTGCGAAAGTCAGTGGTAAAATGGCTGAGAGTGTCACTGCTGCCCCATGTCCAGATCTAGCCCCACTCCTTACCTGGCTGGTTCACTCATTAGCCCTGCCATCACCCCTACTGCCAAATCCCTGCTTACCAGCTGTTAGGGAGGTCACACTGCCCGTCTGGGTGTCCACAACAAACAGGTCCTGAAGCAAAGGAAAGGTCACATGTGGCACCACATCCAGGAGCCCTAAGGGTCCTATCCCTACTTCCTTTCTACCTTCTTGGGGATCCTGGGGCCAGGCTAGGGCTGTAGTAGCTATGATGATAACCACTTGATGTACTAGAGAATAGTCTGAGGGCCTGGAAAGTCTTGGTTCCTTTTTGACTTACTGGTTATCCCTAGGCAAGGTAAGAAATATCATTGAGCCCTGTTTGCAGGATATGAGAACAAATGATATCATACCCCAAATAAGCCTGGCACACTATGGGTACCTTCACCCCATCCCTGGGTTTAGGATTCATATTGTCTCCATCAACAGCTGTTACAAAGTGTTCAGGGACCCACTGCAGAGACAGCCCTGCATCTTCAGCTAGAAAAATAGGCCTAGCACTCTGCTGTGGGGGACCAGGGCATCTAACTTCCTCAAGGAAAAGCAAGTCCAGCACAAGGCAAGCAAGGCTTCAAGAGGCTAGTGAGACCCTCGGGCTAGGCATTCCATTGAGGTATGCGCGGACACACACACACACACACACACACACACACACACACACACACACACAGCCGCAGGTCCCAGACTCCCTGGCAGATGATCCTAGGGGTTGCCTCTCAACACAATTAGGCTCTTACCTGCCGGCTACGCTGAGCTGAGTCAAAGACCACTCTCTGGCTGTCAGCTGACCAGCATCCCAAAGGTAGAAGACTACAGTAGATTCCAGAGAAGTCCTCTGCAAAGATGGAAAGACTTTAGCTACATCCAAGAGGGCAAGTTTGGGGGATAAAGACTATGAGGCAGGCCAGGCTGTTGATCCTGGGGAATTCACCCAGGATCCCTGCGATATGTAGAAGAATGGCATCAAGGCACCTTGGTGATACGGAATTTACTGAGTAAGGATGGGGGCGGACCACTAAGGACCCAAAAGAAGCAGAGCTAAAGAGCTACTGAAAAAAAAAAATGTGGGTACTTCCCTATTAGTTGCTCCCTCTTGGCCTCTGACATCAAATGCCTTAACCAAGATAACATTTCTGTCCATTGTAGTGCTGATCACAGTGGTTCAATAAACCCTGTTCTTTAATATCATCACTCATTTAATCCTCACTATAATACTATTAGGAAGAGGGAGATAACCACTTCTTCCACAAATGAAGAAGTGGAAGCTCAGGGAGGCCAGAGCACTATCCAAGAATGCACAGTAATGGGCAGAGCTGAGGTTCAGACTAGGTCCCTATTACTGCATCTTTGCAACCCAAAGAAGCATGTATGTGGAGGACCAGATACAGGACCTTGCTTGTACATGATAAGCATGTGCTTTACCACTGATCTATATCTCTACTGCATTCCTATAACTGTTCACTGGACTTGCCCACTAGATCTTGGAACTTTCTAAGTGGTTTGAGGAAACAAGACTTCCATCTCTTATATCGTTAGGGTGGTCTAGGATTGTAAGCAGAGCTGTAAACACCTATGGTTGAGACAGGAGCCTTTGAGCCAAGAGCCACCCTCCCAAATCAGCTGACTTAGACTGGACAAATGTTGCTGGGCTGCGGTGGAATATAGAGTAACACAACACTCTTGGGCCCAGAGTTTCTCAAGTATAATACTCCAAACGAATGTACTTTCTGAGACTCATTTGAAAGGCAATGTTTCTAACCAGACAATGGAAAAACAAAAATATAATTGTGAGCTTTAGTACATGAATTAAATCATTTAAATCCCCAAGCAACTTGGGCTACTCTGATCTAGTTTAGGGCTAGCCAATGACTTTCTATCAGTAACATCTTCTACCCCTGTGGAGGCTGGACACAGGACTGGCTTAGCAAGGAGAGTGGTTCTCCAAAGGAACCCAGGAAGGAAGAGCTGGGCATGGATAGAACAGACAGCACTCTACTGGTTTCCCCCAGTCAGGCATCCCTCACCTCCAAGCTGCCGAGGCACAATGTCTACCACCACTGACGTGACCTTGGTGTACCAGTCATACTGTAAAAGAATACAATAGTCAGGCCCATCAGGGGATGACCCTTAGGCACAGAGCTCTAGATCTAGCCCATTCAGTGACAGTTTTGGATAGCCTTAGGAGGGAGGGGAACCTGATAGATCTCATTTACAGAAGTCTAGACCAGATGTCCAACAAGGGCCTCAGGTAGGTCCCTTTAATGAAAGTGAAAACAGAAACCCAGAGCTCGTCTTGGGCAATGGCTGGAATTGTGTAACTTCCTACTATATCTCAGGTCCTCACACACCCTGACTACTTGCAGACAACTGAGAGACAAGCATTCTTGTAGATGGAGGATGTTCCTGAGGTGGTGAGCCCTGATAGTACTCTCAAGCCTTCAGGTCTTTCCTTGAAAGGGCAGGCAGAATATATCACTTCTACACTTAGAACAGGAGGGCATTCACTGAGGGCTTGAGGGGAGGTAATGCCAATGCTTCAGCTCTCAGTCACTATCCCTTTCTTTAAAAAAAAAACCTTCTATATATAATATATATGTCTATATTATCTATATTACATATATATATATATAGCCCTAGTTGGCCTCAAACTCAGCTAGGCTGGCTTCAAACTCACAGAGATCCACCTGCCTCTGCCTCCCCAGTGCTGGGATCTCTGGCCCTTTCTCCTTTTTTTATTTTCAAAAAGGTTCATTTTTATTTCACATGTGAGTGTTTTGCCTGCATGTAAGCGTACCACACATGTGCAGTACCCATGAAAGCCAGAAAAGGGCATAAGATCCCTTGATCTAGAGTTATAGACACTTGTGATCACCATGTAGGTGCTAGGAACCAAACCAGGGAGTCCTCTAGAAGAGCAGCCAGTGCTGAGCCATCTCTCCAGACCTGACCATCCTCCCACCCTTATTCACCACCAGCTCACCAGGCATAGCTGGCTACATTGATGATGTGGGACTAGAGATGGATACTGCAGGTAGACAATGCGACACTGGTCTGGGCTCAGCCGGGGAGAAGAAATAGCCAGGGAGTCATCTGACAGGAGTTCTGGGCCAAACAGAAATATGAGTATCACACAGACTGGTGAGGCTAATATGTGTCAGCAAAGCACATGTAGGTACCAGCCACTTACCACACTTTCCTCCACTAAGGTCCACATAGTACAGGGCTGACCTGGAATGACAGAGACACTCAGCTCCATGGTCAGCTGAACAGCAGAGTCCCCTGCCCTACCCCACTTCCTCACCTGCGATTGGTGCAGAAGCGGATACCTAGCCGGAAGGGTTCATGCCACCAGCCCACAAATACCACACCTGTATCCCCAGGGGCCCAGAAAGCCTATAAACAAGACCAAAAAGTTAGGTACAAACAAGATATATGTTTATGCAGGGTACCCAGACTCCGGGAGGGATATAGGCCGAGTTACTGCTGACCTGTCCAGGGGACACATTCTCAGGGATGCCCTCAAGCACCGAGATGTTGCCGCTTTCGACATCCAGCACACAGAGCACAGGGATACTTTTTGAAACCATGGTTTCACCCCAGTCTTCATAAAACACAAACTGATCCCCCTGAAAATACAAGATACTCAATGCCCAGTGTGTCTACAAGATCTTGCCCTGCCTCTTAGAAGATAGTACCTCCCCAGGTCCATTAGGTGCAATGCAGGAAAGAAGTACACTACATCTCAGGGATGCCCTGCAGGGCCTTCACGGCCTTGCCAGATCACAAGCACCTTGACGGCCTGGTCTGGCTTCTTTGGCCTCGCCATCTCATCATCGCTGGCAATGATGTCCAAGGCTTTGGTTTGAAAGAAGGATTCAGTCTTGGCACGCTTCTTCTCCGCCACATACAACAAGTGTGTCTCTGAGTATGACCAGGACAGGCAGCCAAAGCAGTCTGGATACAAGGAGGGATATCAGGGGGAGCCCAAAGCTATGGCTGCCCTTTCTTCCCACCCTGCCTGCTTACCAGCCAGGTGCCTCACCATCCTCATAAACAGGCCCATGTTTCTCCAGTGCTGACAGGTTGAAGCTCTTGAGCTTCCGATTTTTCTCCCAGACCTGAGGATATCTAGGTATCAGGATGTGTGCCCCTCAACAGAGCCTTCTTTATCTGTTGGGCCAAACTCTGTCACCTGCCATCTCATCCCTTACATACTCACTTCTAGGAACTGTTTCTCCTCCCCAGGACCTGTGCCTCCAGCCTTACGCAACACAGCTTTCATGGTGCCTGAAGGAGACTCTCTGCTCAGTAGCCTGAGGACATGGGGTAGCAGGTCAGGATTATGTCCCACCCCAAAATAGCCCTGTGCTGCCTGCCCCCTTACTGGCCACCTCTTAGACAAGAGTCCTTATTTTTTTTTGTCTTTTTTTTTTTGAGACAGGGTCTCCTTGTAGCCCCAGCTGTCCTGGAACTCACTATGTAGACCAGGCTGGCCTCAAACTCACAAAAATCCACCTGCCTCTGCATCCCAAGTGCTGGGATTAAAGGCATGAGCCACCATGCCTAGCTCTTTCTTTCTTTTAAATGATTTATTTATATTTCTACAAGTGTTCTGATTGGCAGTATTTATTGGTGTGTGTGCCTGAAAAAGGCAGAAGACGATGACAGAGCCAGAACCACACTACATGTGTGCTGGGAGCCAAACCTTAGTCCTCTGGAAGAACAGCAAGTGCTCTTATCCCCCGAGCCACCTCTCCAGCCCCAATATTCTTTTCTTTCTTCCTTTGCCTTTATTAGCTGGATGTTGCAAGATCAGTGAGGCAGCAATGGAAAATGGCTCCTAGCTGACTCCTAGACAAGATTCTTTTTCTTAAAAAAAAAATTGTGCCGGGTGTGGTGGCGCACACCTTTAATCCCAGCACTCAGGAGGCAGAGGCAAGTGGATCTCTGTGAGTTCAAGGCCAGCCTGGTCTACATAGTGAGTTCCAGGACAGCTGGAGCTACAGGGAGACCCTGTCTCAAAAAGACAACAACAACAAAAAATTGTATTATTTTTATTTTACATGTATGAGTATACTGCCTGCATGTGTGTAAGTGCACTTGTGTCATGCAATGTCTATGGAGATCAGAAGAGGGCATTGGATCCCCTGAAATTGGAGTTATAGATGGTTGTCAGCCAGCATGTGGGTGCTGGGAACTGAACCTGGGTCTTCTGCAAGAGCAGCCAGTGCTCTTAACAACTGAGCCATCTCTCCAGCCTGGAGACAAGATTCTTGAGGCTCAATTCCATACCAGCTCCTGAAGCAGGCCCTCTTTAGGGATGCTCATAGTCTTTGATTTGGCTTTTTTTTTTTTTTAAGACAGGAATCACTATGTGGCCCAGGCTGGCCTCACCCCTGCCTTTGCCTCTGCCTCACAAGTGCTGGGATTACAACTATGTTCCATTGTGCCCTGCTCCAGTGCTTCATTTTGGAATGCGTAACTTCTTCCCACATCAACCTGAAATGAAAGCACTAGAGGGGCACAGTATAGCCAGAGCATGTGGAGACTCTCAGAACTTCCAGGGTGTTTACCACAAGTAAGTACAGTGAGTAAAAGCCTTTTCCTTCCCACTGGATGGTGATGCTAACCCCAAGCCAACTGGCCTTGTCTCTCTTCCTTAGGATAGTGACTCTACTCTCTCCAGATTCTCAGGCCACTGTGGGTCTGGACTTCAGTTTGGAACAATCTTCCAGTGTTTTTAAGTCCATATCACCAGAGACCAAATAAGCTTCCATGGAGTAGGCACCTGGTTCTCCTCTCCCCTGATGCTATCCAAAGTTGTCCCTGAAGGGGATAGATAGGTACAGAGCTCTATGCCCTCAGGTCACATGGCAGGCATTTGTGAAAGGCTGGCACAGCAGATGACTGTGGTTTTATCTGCAAACACCTCTCACACTTACTCCCCCCGGGTTTCCACACTGTTGCCTGCAGGCCCTGCAAACACCACCGAGTCTCCATCGTGGAACACTAGGTACTGGCGGCAGAATCTGATGTTCTCCATGCGTTCCAAATCTCTCTGGGTCCACTCTGCAAGGGAGGCAAGAGGTTGCTCAACTTGTCTTGACCAGTCTGGGTCACTGCCCATTACTCAAGAAGGTCTACCTTTCCCAATCTGTCTCCAAACACCCTTCACAACACCTGATCATAACCAAGTCTAAGCTTCCAGAGCCTAAGCTGACAGTTCCTTGGAGAGAACCCACTACTTACTGCCCCTAAAATTTTAAGAGCAGCATGACATTCATATGGGATGGAGAGGTAAAAGAGAGCTCTACAAGGCCCACACCTTGGAAACCCGTCCATACGTTCAACTCATGCACTCATGTGCAGGAAACTAGGAGCCGAAGACCGGTGCCCTCTCCAGGCCCGGGTTCCTCCACGCACTCAGGTGCACCATCAAGCACCGAGCCCTCCACCTTCCCCATCTCTCTACCTGAGAGCACGGCCCCGTCACCACCCAGTTTCCCTCGGTCTACACACCAGTGTGCACAGTCCGATAGAGGCCCCCATACTGCGTGGCGACCTCCGGGCCTAGGCAGGCGGCGCTCAGCGTGGGCTGGCGGCTAAGGCCCCGGTACAGCGCTGTCGCCTCCTCGGGCTCGCTCAGCAGCACCTGCGCAGGGGACACACCAGGGTCAGGCTCGGCCCGGGCTGCAGAGGCCACCGGGGCCGCAGGCCGAGCCCTCACCTGGCGCTCCATAGTCCGTCCTATCGGTGCAGAGTCCTAGGACCTGGAAGTGAGGCTTAGGGGGTGGGACTTAAGGCGGTCCCGCCAGTTTCCGCTACAGCCGGGGGCGCATGGGAGGGGATGGGCCTTGAGGAATAGGTGTGGTCTGTGGAAAGGAGGCGGGACCTAGCTGGTAGGGGGCGGGGTGACGAGGGAGCCGTCCTGGCGGGGAGGGGCCTGGAGCTAAGGAGCCGGGCTTTCTGGAGAGGGCGGGGCAAGTGGGAGTCGGAAGCAGTAGGATCTTGGAGAGGGTGGACGTGTGGCTGCGGAGTACTGGAGCACTGGAGCTGGTGTTGAGGGACCCGACTGGAAATGGAAGGCTGCAAAGACAGCACTCGGAACGCAAACCAATGACTTCTTGAGGATGAGGGGCGGGAAAAGACGAGCACTGAGAAAAGCGGGTCGATGAAACCGTTAGGATGCAGTGCGGGACATCTGCGCGGGTCTCCTGTGGCCCTGGGGCTGACTATGGGGGTCCTTCCCCGACTACTGCAGGCCAGACCTTCCCCAGACCGTCCCCGGCCTTGCCCCAGAAGATCTCGGGCAGATAGGAGGAAAAGGCGCGGTTCCCTGGGGCGCGGGGGCAGAGAGGGGCGGTGCTGAACTCTCCAGGGTGCTGCCTCGGCTTATCAATCACCAGGCTTGCCCCAAAAGCTATCGGTCCCCACAACCCTCACCTTGCCTTCTCAGCTGCGCCTTGCTGGGGGTCGTGAGCGGATGGGGTCTCAACCTTCCCCAGGAGCAGAGAGAGGGCCTGGTGGGGTCAGACTTCACCCAAGACTGGAGTTTCCCGTGGAAAGGGCCCAGGTAGGTAGGCAGGCTCTTCTGAGTTGGCTTAGGTGACAGCAGAGGGCAAGGGCCGCTGGGCAATGGTAGATATGTCCATCTAGCTTGAGTCTGGCTGGTTGGACTTTCAAACCTCAAGGCCCTGGGTCCCTTTGAATGAGTGCCTTCTTATCTGAGGCAAAACTTCCACCACTTTTGTTTAATCTGAGGGGTTTTTGTTTGTTTGTTTTGCTTTTTCTAGTGACTCTTGGATTACCCTGACGGTCTTGGGGGAAGTACTAAGGTCGCTTAGCTACGAAAACAATTCTGAGGTTTAAGGCAGGCAAGTATAAGGCTTATTTGATAGCACCAGGGGACAGCACTTGCTCATCTAGTTCCTTGGAACCAGGCCCCCTGAAAACTGCAGCATGGAAACCCATTGGCTTGGGACCTATCCTTGCACTTTTGTGGAGGGCCATCTTCAAATGGCTTGGTCTGGATTCAGCCCTAAGTTGTGCCAAGGCTTCTGAAACTTTGCTCTTTCATACTTTTTTTCTTTAACCACAGATAATATTGTCACAACTTTGGAGATTTACTTGTTTGCCTAAGCCTTCCCACTTTAGAAACCATGCCAGAGACAATCTGTAGGTTGTTTATATCAAGTCATTTTATTCTGATACCACAGAAATACCTTGTCACAATACAGGGGAGGGACACTGAAGTACCACGAGTTCTCATAGAGCACAGGAGGACGGCACACAATTCACAAGGTCATGTGGAGGACTCGGGTCATTGCACTTACAATTGTAAACTTGTTTGTTTGACTTTGTACAGCACTCTTCCCCCCCTCAAATAAAGAAGGAGAGAAGGAAAGAAGAGAGGGAAGGAGGAGGGAAGAAAAGAGCAAAAACAAGACATGGAAGCTAGAGGAAAGGTGTTGGATGGCCACCACTCTCCAGGGTACTGCACTTGGAGAGGAGCTGATTTGACCCCAGAGGTTGAATGAGGTGCACGCGCACACACACATATATACATACACACACTCATGTACACATGCTTACACAATCTCATGACTTCTATGGCTCTCCAGTGCCACCCCAATGCATATAGCAGCAGGGTGATGGCACCCAGGGAGACAGAGATGGCATCTCCAAGGAGTTTCAGTTGATTAGGTCTATCCCTTTGACCCTGTTGGAATCCATGATGACAAATATTTACAGCATGGAAGGGGAGGAGCCAATAAAGCAGGACTGTATTATCATGGAAAAAGGACCTGCCTGGAAAACTCCCCACAGGCTCCAGAATGCAGGCCAGAGTTGCTGCCTTTGCTATTCTCTCATTGTGGGTCCCAAGACCATCTGATCTTCCCAAGGGGTAGGAAGGTGGTAGTGGTGGGAGAAGGGCTATCACCATGAAGCAGGTGTATTGAGGCCCCAAGTAGGCAGAGGAGATTACTCTTGCTTACGACACGGGGCGGGGGGGGGGGGGAATGGAGAAGGCCTGGACTACCCAGAGACTTCTTACCCATTATGGAGATGTGCCTATTGCTCACCACTTCCCACAGCAGCGAATACTTGTCCCTCAGCCTCTGGCTGTCATGTCCAGAGTTAACACAAGGGCCAAGATACCCATGACCTAGAAGATTATTGTAGCCATCTTCATAGAGGGGCAATGATCTGTCCTGTGAGTACAATCAGGTATAGGGAGTGGCAGACATCAGAAATTTCAAACTCAGAGTTTAGTCAGAAAGAAAATTTGCTAAAAAGTTAGTATTTAGAGCCTGAAGTAGAGCCTGCCAAAAGTTAACATGCTGACATCCTTCCTGTGCGTGGCTCCTAGTCCAGGCCCTTAGCTGTCAGTGGAAAGGGTTACTGTCTTGATCTCCAAGTATTTAAACATCAGGCACATCCCACACAGACCTTGTCCTGGGTGGCTCAAGTTCCCCAGTGGTGTCCTTCCTCATCCCTAGCTCAGATGTCCTCATATAGCCTAGACCTATCTCTGAGATGAGGCAGCTGTTTGATGGCAGGAAAAAGGCCAAATCCCAGGAACCCAGGGTCTTAAGTCCAACACAGCTTGGGCTGTTCCACTCACAGCTGCCAGAGGTAGGCCAGGACCACCCTCTAAAGGATGTGTAGGCCTTGTAGAAAAGCATGAGAAATGTGGGCCCCTGAGAAATGCATGATACAAACCAGAGTACTTTGGAGGGAGGTCAGACCTCAAGGGGTCAGACAGGTACCACTGGCCTACTCCTGGTTCAGTGAGAGAGAGGCTGATAACAGTGGGATACTTGAGCTTCAGGGAAGAGGGTAGGTCCTGGGACAGATATGGAAGAGGCTACAGGAGACCTTCAGGAAATTTTGCTATTGAGAAACTTCCCAAGAAGCTCAGCTTAAAATCATTGTTTATGTGAACAGTTGTCCCAGATGATATTTTTGGCCAAAATGCCCAAAGCCCAGCTCTTCCTGATCACCCTTTGATCCCCTGGCTCCAGCCCAGATCTCGTGGCTCACAGTCCTTTAAGCCTTCCAATCACAGGAGAGGCATGGTGCAGGTTCAGTCAAGACTTAGGGACCCTAGGGCACAGCCAGGCTTTGCTCTTGGCTTCTGTCTCTCTGGTCATAGATGCAGCCCACCTCTGCCCTTGTATAGCGCCCACTGGGAAGAAGCAGCCATATTCTTATGGCTCAGGGCTGGGTTAGGAGGGAAAACCAATACACAGGTAGAAATCCTACAGCAATCCTACAGAACGTTCATACACATGCATCCTGTGCGGGCTCCTATCATTGTGTCTATTCTGAGGTTTCTCTTTTATTTGCAATCTTGGACAGATAAAACTGCAAGGTGTGTGTGGCTTTGCTGCCTGCTCCATGGCCTGGCATACTCAGGCAAGAATTCTGGCAGGCCTTCACTAGCTTGTACAGAAGTCAGCAAGAAGTGCTCCTAAAGGAGAGGTTTAGAGGCAAAAAGAACTCTGAAAAGAACTCTAAGCAAGAGGGTCAAGCATTTAAAATGAATGAAATCGTGCAAAGAGGCTGCTAGCTGTGCATGCTCCACTGCGAGACAGGCGGTGACTCACCTGGCAGCAGCGAGTCCTGCCACAGGTCAAACATGCCACAGACTAAGAGTTTACACACACACACACACACACACACACACACACACACACACACACACGCATACACAAAGTGGGAACGGGTTGGGTGGAATGGTGATATGAGCATATCTATCCAGTTTCTCAATTGCATGTTTGCAATTAACTCCTTATATGTAACATGGAATTTATTAAATATTAACAGTTGTCTTTGAGGGTTTATATTTAATTGCATAGAACATTAGATGAGACTTGTGGCTGTGCCCAAAATGAAGGGAGGCCTTCAAGGGAAGGGCTTTGGGGAGGAACGTAGCCCAATCCACCAGGTGAATGGACAGTGTCACACTCCCCCTTCCCCTCAGGGCATTGAGCCTTTCCCTTGGCTGGCAGAAGCCCTGGCTCCTCTGCTCTGAGCACGCCCACTGGTGATGGCTTAAGAAGGACTAAAATTGCACAGTAAACAGAGGTGGGCTGAGGGGCTTCCCTAGACCTCACCCTGGATTTGTGCTCTTAGTGGCCTGCTGCCCTATTGCTTCTAAGTCAACATTTCTCCCTGTGCTGGGCAGGGGCAGAGCAGAAAGGAAACCGTCAGTCACAAGGTGGTAGAGGGGAGAGGCAAGGGAGGTGAGCAAAGAAAGGAGAGAGAAAGAGAGAGAGGAAAAAAATGTTCATGAGGTATACACGTAAATCAAACTGGAATGATTAAGGCTGTTCTTGAAATCAAAAGAAATCCTCAGGTGTACGGATGAGGAGCTGGCTGGTCAAGACAATGGTGGTACCACTGGGATGCTCACGATGGCTGGGGGGATGGCTTTAAGATGATGGCAGGCGTGCCTGGCACGCTACCACCCATGGGCTGGGAGAAGCCTCAGCCGGTGCCCATGCTGCTTTTCGGTGCTATGGTCTCTTATTTCAGCAATGAGACAGTGTTAGGTCCTAGTGTTTGTAAAGTTCTCCCAAACCCATGCTGGCCACATGGAGGTCTGCCCCAATGTCACCCAGAGGGCAGGGTGAAGGTGGCAGGACCTTACAGCCACAGAGGGATCCGGGCCAGCTGGAATGTGAAGGAAACGGAGCCCGGGGCCCCCAGCCCTCAGTCAAAGCCCCTCTCCAAGGCTGTGGAAAAACTTCTGGCATCTCAGAGGGAGGGCAGTATGCAACCAAACTCTGTGTATAACGCATTGGAAGCCTGGCTGGCTAGGCCACATAAAGGAGGCTGTGGGATGAGCAGCAGACAGCCACAGCCTTCTGGTGAGGGCTCCTCTCTCCCAAGGATGACTGGCCTGAGGAAGGCAGGGTCTCTGGAAAGAGAATCAAAGGTTCCCCGAGCCAATGGTCCCACTGGTCCAGTAGATGCTTCACCCAGGCAGCTGCTGTTAGAAAACATCCTGTCCTCAGCTGAGGCCTGCCTGCTGCGGTCCACTTGGTGTGAGTCTTTGGGCAAAGGGGTTGCCAGATTGTAGATGCTTGGAAAAGAAAGGGAGACAAGGAGGAAAGGGAAGGAAGGGAAGAAAGAGGGATTTTGTCAAGAAGGCTGGGCAGCAATTTCCCACCCTCACATTCCTTTTAGACATTGTCATGTGCCAATGGCCTGGCTCCTCTTCACCCAAGGATTCTATATTATTGAGGTATGGAGAGATGGGTGCTTGTGCAAGTTAGAAGAAGGACAGAAAGAAAGAAGAATTAGATCTCCAGGAAAAGATTCATTCATTTTCTCTCTCTCTCTCTCTCTCTCTCTCTCTCTCTCTCTCTTTCTCTCTCTCTGCCCCTCCCTCCCTCCCCCCCAAAGGGTCTTACTATATTGCCCAAACTGACCTCAAAGTCTCAAAGTGATCCTCCTATCTTCGCCTATGGAGGAATTGGAGCATGTGCCACCACACCCAGCTTGATACAGTTTTTTCTTTTTTGCATTTATTTTTTTTGTGTGTACATGCATGCATGTGCACTCATGCATGTGCCTGCACATGGAGGTCAAAGTCAAGGACAACTTGCAAGAGTCGGTTCTCTCCTTCCACCATGTGCATTCCAGGGATCAAACGCAGATCATCAGGCTTGGCAGTAAGTGTCTTTACCCACTGAGCCACCTTGCTGTCCCTGGATATTTATTTTGTACAATAAAAGTTCCTTTTTGGTAAAATGGCAAAACTAACTCCATTTTGTTCTAGCTGACTTTTGCTTTACCCTGTGTTTTTGTTCAGCCATTCCCACTGCAGCCAGCCAGGAAGAACATATATATCATGCAGGCAGTTTCAGGGAGTACACTGTTTCTACAATACTGGGAAACTTACAAGTAGCCAGGTAGCATGTCCAGGTAGTACCTCCTCCCACCCAGCTAGGCCTCTATCTCCATGGAGCCCATTGTCTCTGCAATTCTGAGAAACTTCTTTTTCCTAACCAAAACTTTTTGTTAACTGGAAACCTCTTTGTTAACTGACCTGCTCCTGGTCTGGTGTAACTATAGTGATCTGATGTAACTATGGGTGTTAGCCCCATCTTTGACTGCCAGCTATTAATAAAGGACTCCTAATTTGACCATCACTATGTGGCATTCCTCTTTGCCTCTTGTGCTATTGGGGCTGGAGAGATGGGGCTCAGTGGTTAAGAACACTGGCTGCTCTTGCAGAGGACCTGGATTCTGTTCCCAGTACTACCTGGCAACTAACAACTGCCTGTAACTCCAGTTCCAGGGGATCTGATGCCCTCTTCTGTCCTCCATGGGCATTGCATGCACCTAGTGCACTTAACATACTTACAGGCAAAACACTCATACACATAAAAATAAATAAATTTAAAAGTTCTTTTTTGTTTTGTTTAAGAGTGTAAGAAGCCAGGTACAGTAAATTCACACCTATAATCCCAGCACTTGGGCAGTGAAGTCAGGAGGATCACTAAAAGTTCAATGTCAGCTTGGTGTACATATTGAGTTATAGGCCAGCCAGGGCTATATATGAGATCCTGTCAAAAAAATTAAAATAAAAGTGAGGAGGATGGCGTTTTGTTTCAGATGGAAAGCCTTTCCTAGCTCATCTCTGTTTTGTTTTTTTGTTTGTTCATTTTTTGCTTTTTTCTGTAGCCCCAGCTGGCCTGGATCTCATAGAAATCTGCCTGCCTCTGCCTTCCGAGGGCTGGAATAAAGGCATGTACCACTACACCCAGCCTAGGTCATCTCTAAAATTGACATAAATGACACCAGGAGATGGACACACACAGCAGCTTTGACCACTTGGTCCAACTGTTAGCCTGGTGCTGGAACTTGAAGGAGATTTCTTTAACAGTGGTCTCAGTGTATGGCAGGACACAGAACAAAGACACATCTATGTGGCTCTTCCCTCTTCAATATTAGTGTTCTGGCCCTAAACTCAAGTTGGGCGCTGTCCTGAACCTGAGCTGTCTCTCATTTCCTCCTCTGAGTACTTCAGATTTCATGTGTGGCCTTTCTCTTTCTTTCTTTCCTTCTTTCCTTCTTTCTTTCTTTCTTTCTTTCTTTCTTTCTTTCTTTCTTTCTTTCTTTCTTTCTTTCTTTCTTCTCTTTCTCTTTTCTATTTTTTTTGTCTTTTTGAGACAGGGTCTCCCTATAGTCGAAACTTGCTATGTAAACTAAGCTGGCCTCAGTCTCACAGAGATCTGCCTGCATCTGTCTCCCAAGTGCTGGGACTGAAGGCATATGCCACCATGCCCTGCATTTCATGTTTGTTCCAGGGGAATGCCAAGAAAACATCTAGCTAAGAGGGAAAGTGAAAGGGAGCCCACTGTCCTGGAGTAAAGGCAAGAAGGATGTTGGGTTGCACTGTGGTTCCTGTACTTCAAATAAAGCTCAGACTCTTCAAATAAAGCCCACTTCAACTTTACTCCTGACCATCTCCGCTCTGCTATGACTCTAACTGTGCTGGTCTTTTGTCTGTCCCTGAAGCCTGCCAGTCAAGTATCAGAACTTTTTCTGGCACTGCTCCTTCACCTGGGCATATCCCACAGTGGCTTTTTCTCCACCCAAGTCTTACTTCACACACTTTCAGCTCTGGTCACTTTTTCTAGAGCTTCAGAAACCCTATTTCACTAGCACCACACCACCATCTTCAGAAGTTACCTTTTTAAAAAAAATTTTTTTACTTACTATTTTTATTTTATGTGTATGAGTGTATTGCCTGTATGTAGGTAAGTGCACCCATGTCATGCAATGCCCATGGAAGGCAGAAGAGGTTGTCAGATCCCCTGGAACTGGAGTTACAGACAGTTGTTGCCATGTAGGTGCTGGGATTTGAACCCAGGTCTTCTGCAAGAATAGTCACTGTTCTTAACTGCTGAGCCATATCTCCAGCCCCAGAAGTGACCTTTCTAAAAAAAATTTATTATTATTTTTATTTTATGTGTATGAGTGTATTGCCTGCATGTAAATGAGTGTACCTGTGTTGTGCAATGCCACAGAAGTCAGAAGAGGGCTTTGGATTCCCCTGGAAATGGAGTTAAGGATGGTTCACAGCCGCCATGTAGGTGCAGGGAATTGAACCCAGGTCCTCTGCAAGAGCAGTCAGTGCTCTTAACCACTGAGCTATCTCTCCAGCCCTGCCAGAAGTTACCTTTTAAATTAGGTTTTTATTTATTTATTTAGAGACAGGGCCTCACTATGTAGCTCCAGCTGGCCTGGACTCCCTATGCTGACCAGCCTGGCCTTGAACTCACAGAGATTCTTCTGCCTCTGCCTCCTGAATACTGAGTTTAAAGGTGTGTGCCACCATACCCAACTAGATTTTTATTCTAAAATTTATTTATTCTCTGTCTCCCTTAATGGACTGTTGACTGTTTGTTGTATCCCCAGTGTCTAAAACACTGGCACATACTTGGGGCTTGACAAGCATTTATTGAATAAATGGATAAATAGATGGATAGATAGGGCCTTTACAGTGCCCCCATGCTGCTGAAAAGACAGGCAGTCTTGGGACCCATACCTGGCTTCTTTCCCACAAGCAAGTCTTGTCTAAGTAAGGGCACTTACTAGCCCAACGCTCCCTTGAAATGATCAGCTTGTTGACTGCTGGCCCTTACCCTGGCTACTACACACATCTCCATATTCTTAACTCTCAAGTGTAAAGGAATGAAGTGCCTCAGGGAGGTGGCATGATAGGTGATTCCTGGCTGTTCAAGAAGAAACAGCCACAGTCAGGCTACTCTCCCTAAACTTGGATGAGGCGTTTTCTTCTTTGTCCACAGAGGCAGAGCCAAGGATAGGACCTTGGCTCCAAGAGGGGGCATCTCATTCTTCCTTGACCACTGAAGTCCAGGCAGAGAAGGCTCCTATCCTGAACCCTTCTATTTTCTCTACTCAGGCTGACCCAGAGTGGGGCCGAGACTACCTGACTAGTGACCGTCTTTCCTCTATCTTTCTTCTGTCTGTCTCTCTTCCTATTCTACTCTTTCATCTTGCAAGCCATAAGCTCAGCCTGTGAAGATAAGTGTCTTGATTTCATGCCCAAAGCTGCTAAGTTCTACAAGGTTAGGAAAGAAACCAGCACCAGGCATCATAGAAAGGACATGTCTCCCACAGGAGCCACGGACTATCCTGTCCTCCAGGATGACTTTGGATTCAGTATCCAGAATACAGACCTCAAGTTGTGGGGCCACAGTTGGTTCCACTGGGTCCTTTCCCAAGGATAGTACCTGACTCATCTATCAACATGCCAGCCAGCACACTGCCTCTGATGGGGGCTTCTGGGCCCTTTCCCAAGGACAGTACCTGACTCATCTATCAACATGCCAGCCAGCACACTGCCTCTGATGGGGGCTTCTGGGCCCACCCCAGCTGAAAGAAGTATACCAGGTCCTTCTTAGTTCATACTTTTAGGAACTGGGCCCATTCACCTACTTCTCTGACTTATCCTACCCTGGTCCTGACACTCACTGTTATACGCAGAGTCCAGAGCTGCGCCCAGGCCTTTGACTCCAGAGATTTTTCCACAGCAATAATACCATCTTTCTTCATGTCTTCAAGAGCCTATGGAGCATTTGCAGAGGAAGGTTGGGAGTTGCTGCATCAGGGGACCCCTCTCTATGACCCATACCAGCCCATCTCTTTGAGAGCACTGCAGGAAGACTGGAATGTGAGAAACACAAAGGAACATTAGCCCTGGCTTCCTTTATTGGGGACTTCTACTGAGTTGGTCCCTTATCAAAGGTTCTGTGCAGTGTTCTTGCTCTTTCTTCTATGCCCCCAGGAGAGGACATTGTAACTCTGACCGTGCCACTCACTGAAGACCAGTCTCTTCCCAGAGGTCTCAACCTTTGAGACTTAAGAGACCCAACCCCTAGTAACTCAGGCTGTTCCCGGGAGAGGCCAGGTACAGGTACTCACCCTGCTGGGCACAATCACCAGAACGAGGAAAATTTTTTGCCAAAAGCAGAGACAGCTGTGGCACAGAAAGAGGAGAGAGACATTAGGGAACTGGGCCAGACCCCTCCTAGTCAGGGCCATTGGGCACAGTGAAGCCAAGCCTAGACCAAGAAGCAAAGACTACCCAGAAGACCACTGGGCAACAGCAGGTAGACCCTTTGACTAGCTTGTGCCCTGGTGACTGGACCCAGAATCATCCCCAACCCCAATCTAGACCACAGTAACACCCTGGAGAAGCCACCCAGCAGGGACCTGGCCTGAGGCAATGCATACCTTCTGTCAGCTTGCCAGCTTGCTCTGCTGCCCCGCCAGGGAGGATTTTGGAGAACACACTTTCCCCATCGGCACCTGGCTGGCCAGCAGGAGCCCCTGGAGTCCCCCCAGGCCTGGCTCCAGCCTTCAGTCCTATAGGGAAGAAAGCACCATTATGAGCCATACCTTGGCCGGACTGTTCAAGGTATGAGGAAAGGGGAGAGGAGCCATGAGAGGACTTGAATATAGGTGATCTGTGAGGTAGAGCAGGAGGCTAGACGAATAAATAGAGGAAGATGAGAACAGGAAGGGAAGGGGTGGGAAGAAGCTAGGAAAAATGGTTGATGAAGGATAAAGAGAGGAAAAAGAACATGAGGGGGGCAGAGGAGATGAGGGACAGACAGGGAAACAAGAAGTCATGGCCCTGGCCCTGGTTTACCAGTGCCTTCTAGGATCTCTATTCCCATTCCCTAGGCCCTCAGGACCCAGTACTGGTGACCTGACTGGCCCATTCTAACCCCTAACTCGTTCTCTGCTTGGAAGTCTGTAGCCCACTAGGACCCTTATTGGGGATTGGTGAAAGCATGTAGTGAGGGTAGGGATGAGGTGAGGTACAGGTATAGGGAAGGAACAGTCTGGGTGTTCTGGGCATAGCTCACCTGTGGGTCCAGGTCCGGGTGTTGGCTGGGTCTGAGGAGCCCTCCCCTGTTGGGGTGTTTTGGCTGTTGCTTTAGAGCCATTTGCCTGTTCTGCCCGTGGCTGCAACACAGAACCTATAGCTGAGATCCTGTTCACCCACCTTGCCCACCCCTGGCCTGGAACCAAGGAGACACCCAAGCTTCAATTGTAGCATCTGCCTTGAGGGAGTTGGGGGACCCATGTACAGGAGCCTTAACTTACCAGTCCTGCTGGCTGAGGGCCTGGGGCTGTCATGGGGCCTGGCTGAGGTTTCCCTGCTGGCTGGCTAGCAGCAGGAGCTGAGCCCCGGGTGTTTGGCTGGCTCTGCTGCTGCAGCCGAGCCTGTGATGGGGCCTGCTGTGGCAGTTGCTGCCCAAGACCTTGCTGCTGTTGCTGCTGCTGTATCTGTGGCTGGCGTGATGTTGTGCCTGAGGGCATCTGCCTGGATGGTGGTGGCTGTGACTGCTGTGGCCCTGGAGCTGCCTGCCGACCTTGCATCTGCGGCTGGGCCTGGGGTTCTGGCTTTGGCTGCAGTGTAGCAGGCCCAGAGTGGGCCTGCCGGGAGCCCTTCTTGCTGTCAGAGGCATGATGGTATGTTGATGGAGCACGGGATGGCTGTGAGTATTCAGCAGAGCTGAGGTACCCAGGCTGACCCTTCTTCTGCATGGAGGGGGCAGGGCTGGCCTGAGGGTGGGGCCGGGTCTCATGGCGACCCAGGTCCCGAGCATGTGGTTTGGCAGCACGCCGTCCTGGCTCCTCACCAACATGGCGGACTGAGTGCCTCCCGTGGTCACTGTGGTGCCGGTGTTCCTTGGCTGACACATGGCGGCCTGGGCCACCCTCATCATGAGGCCACAGGCCCTCCTCAGGGGGTTCATCGTAGTCGTGGTAGCTGTGCCTGGCAGGGCCTCGTTTCTGGGAGGAGGAGACTGCATGGCCCCCATGGTGCCTGAACCGGTCAGAGCGGGCATCTCGGGGTTTATCAAACCAGTCTGTCTCCTCCTGGCCCAGGTGATACGCTTCAGAGACCAAAAACAGAACACCATCAACCCCTGACTGGCTGCAGGGGAGGCCTAGCTGAAGCCATGCAAGGGAACCAGAGAGCGGATACCACAGCCACAAGCAGGTCACTAGGTCCCCAGCCCACCCTCCAACAACCAGGAACCAGGGCACAGATAGAATAGGCAAGGACAGCCTGCATGAGGGCCCACTGATGAGATGCCAAGCCAGATCCTGCTGAGAGATCTTGGGGCCCAAGGTCCCACAGGCAGGCAGACCCCCAGGTGCTGAGCATTTGCAGAAATTACCCCCAGCTGCCATTACCTTCGCTGTCAGAAACCACGCAGTGGGAATCATCCAGGATGTAGCCCTCCTCACGCTTATACGCATGGGCCCGTGGGCCCTCCTTAACATGTTCCTGGACGTCAGGCATGGAGTGGCTGGAGCAGAACTGTGGGCAGGTATCCCCAGGAGGAAGGGTGCCCCCTGCAGTGCGAGGCCGCCCCAAGGGGCTGACAGGGCTCTCCTCTTCAGAGGCCTGGTTCCTCATGGGGGGCCGTGTCCGGCCATGGGCCATGCTCAAGGATGAGGGCTTGGGGCCTGCCTTTTGAAGTCGCTCCACAGCCTCCCGTTCCCGCTCATACCCTTTGCCTCGACCACTGAAATCATGGCTAGACAGCTTCTCCCCAGCGTATGCAGATGCCACTCGGGACCGGCTGCTGCCACTGTACATGCGGTCATCTTCCTCTGCTGTGTCCCGGCTGGACACCCCATAGTACCTCTGCTGCTCATACACATTCTTCTTGAGCCCATAGGTGATTTCATCCTGGAACTTCCTGCCCCGAGAGGCAAGGCTGCTGCTGACAGCAGTTGGGGGGTAGGAGGCCAGGTCTGACTCTACATCCTTGGCCTCTTCAATAGGCGAGAACTTGGAGATCTTTTGCTCCATGCCCTGCTTCCGGTGCTTGCTGCGCTTTGAAGAGATGACAGCTGGGCCTGGACTCTTGGAGGGATGCTTGGGCCCCATGGGACCTGGACCATACTTCTCTGTCCGAGACCCATGTTTATAGTCACTGTCACTGTAATAATGAGTGCTGGCTGGTCGGCCATTGCTCTCCATGCTCCTGTGATGGCTAGCTTTCCCACGGGGGTCATATGAGTCCTCCTCAGATTCTTCCTCCCCTCTGCCATAGCAACAAGGCAGTGTGGACCCCTCGAGGACACCTGGTTCTCCAGGCTCCTTCCCAGGACGCCCACTGACTCCACTTGGCCCCAAAGGCTCCAGCCGCTGGCTATCATGGGCAGTGGGGGTGCTGTCCTTTGTCAGCTCACTAATGTCATCAATCATCACATAGTTCCGGGGAACATTCTGCTCCAGACTGGTGTAGTGGGAGTCAGAGGGGTAGGTGGGGGCTGGGCTCTGGCTCACACTGCTTTGGTCACTGCTCCGGGGAAGCTCGGGAGCCTTGCCCTGCTCATAGCTGCTGCTCACCGCTGGGCCACTGTAGCTAGTTTCAGAGGGGACTGAAGACATGGTTACAGCAGGGCTGGTAATCACTTCATAATTTGTGGGTACCTTCTGTTCCAAGTCAGCTAGTAAGGTCTGATGTGGCTTCTGGTGGGGGGCACGACTGTCAGCTTGGACTGGAAAAAGGGTGCTCTGTGTAGTTGGCATGGGTGTTTGGGCTGCATAATGGCCTGTCGGATGGAAACCCTGCTGGTTTGGCAGGCCCAGCTCAGCTGGATAACTAGTGCCAGAAGGAAAAGAAGGTTCTGGGTATGTGCTGGGGCCAGTGTAGGTGGGTGCCTGGTGGGCTGGAAATCCGTTCTGAGTTGGCCCACTACTGCCTGCAGTGTACTGTGGGGCTGCAGGTGGGAACCGGGGCTGCTGGAAGGCAGTTGGGCCAGATGGGGTGGCAGGCACAGCAGCTGAGGCAGGGAAGTCCACATACTGGCCAGTGGGCATGGTGCAACCCTGGAGCCGCAGCTGGTTGAGTTCGCTGTCAGACAGGTAGTCACGATGCTCACCAAGGCCACGTAAAGGTGGGTAGTCACGGCCACCCCGGTCTTTGGCCAAAGATTCTTTACGCTGGGTGATACCCAGCTCTAAGTACTTGAGCTTGGCATCAATCTCCTTCTCCTCCTCGTCCAGCTCTGCCTGCTTCTTGCGCAGCTTGGTGGACTCATGCTCCACCAGCCGCAGGTCCCGGTCCAATTCCCGGAGCAGGCTGGCCTTGGTAGCAGGGACGGTGGTGGGCCCCACCAGCCCTCGTTGTAGCAGGCTGGCTGCATACAGCTGTGAGGGGGCCTGGCCAGCCAGGGGAAGGTGAGCTTCCTCTGGAGGGGGGCTGGGCAGTGTCCGCTTCACCTTGCGGACCAGGCCGTTGGGTGGCAGCGCCGACACCTGAGACAGAGGGAAGGGTGGCAGCACTGAGACCCAAGGTGTGGGTGACTTTGGTAGGGCATAGGGTAGAAGAACCCAGGTCTGGAGGTTCTTCAGGGCAGAAGCTGGGCTCCACACTGTTGGTGCCCTAATTTACCAAGCAACCTCAAGGTCAACCCTGCCCAACCCCCTGGTCCTGGCTTCTTTGCTATGAAGGGAAGGCCTGTGATCATTTTAGTCTTTCTTCTAGAGGTCTGGGCAACAGGTAGGTAAGAGAGGAGACAGATTGTTTTCTGTGCTGTGTCCAATAGCTTTAAGAAGCCCTGCACATCTCAATAGGCTTGCCTCCTATTAAAGTGAGGAGCCAGGTTTGGCTCTAAGTTTGGGACTTAGCAGCTTGTGGGGGCTGAGGGTAGTGGGAGTCAGGGAAAGGAGGGGTGTAGTAGAGGGTACTAGACCCACCTGGCTCCTTTAACAATAGGATTACAGGAAGGTTGCATGCTGTTTATCAGCTGTTACAGGGTCTACGCTTTCTGCTTTATCCCTCTACAGAGTGGCATGCTACTCAGTTGCCTGCTCACTTCCTCTAGTTGCCCTGCACTACCCCCTGACAAACTTTCTGGGCTATACTCTTGGTCCAGCCCCCAGGTCCCTCTATATCCCTCACTCAATCACCACCAAACCTCCTATTTCTCTCTTTAGACCTTTCTCCAATGGCAGAGCTTCCTGCCCAAAGTTCTCTTGCTGTACTCTCCACAGCACTTCCTCACCTGCCTCAGGTATTCTGCATTACCTGAAGGCCTATGCTGATGGAGTACCCCCCACCTCCCTTTACCTCCAGCTTCTAACCTTCCCCAGAATGCCTCACATTTCTAGATTTCACACCATACCAATGCCCCAAATATACTGGAGACAGAATTCTTATTTTTTACCTTGCCAAGTAACTACATAAAAATCTCTCATCTTTTACAAGTCATAAAGAAATGATAGTGTGCCCCTAAGCCTTCAAACAAAGGTGGGCTTTTAGTGGGATAAATTTAGCTTTTGAACTCCTCACTGTCTATCTTTTCTTATTTGGGCCACAAACCTTGAGTGCCAGCTCATGGGTATCTGTGTGCCTAGAGCCAGGACCATCCGCCTCTTTGACCTGCCCTCTTGCCAGCTCATACACCTGACCATATCCCCACTCCTGCTTCTACACATCAGGGCCTTTCACTACCTACCTCTACAACCATCACCTCCACAACCCCACTCCAAGCCTCCACTTTTTTCTGTACACACCCAGAAAATGCATAAATGTACTTCACAATGCTTTTGGTTCCTACCTCCTCTCTTTCAGTTCATCAGCCCACACTGTACCTTGGGAATGCTAAAATACCCATCTTGTTCTGTTTTACCTGCCAAGAACTTCCAGAGGTTTCTAAAAGCATTTAGGGAAAGCCAGCCCTCCTCAGTCTTGTACTCAGTCATTGGCATGACGCCCTCATAACCTCCATCACTTTCTATAACTGCAGCCCATGGCTATCTCTCATGGTTCCAGTACATGATTAGTAACTAAAGCTACAGACAAAGAGCCTGTACTGTATCTAGGGGAACAGACAGATGTAGGAACAGAGCTACTGAATGGAGGTAAGACATGGAATACAATCAAGACAGAGTACACCACAGCCCCAGGATGGACCTTGAGTGCTATCCCACAGCACTATGGCTTAGACTTGCTATAGGCAATGAAGCCTATCTAGGCTTGGGCAGTGGGGAGCAATGCAGCCTGAACCACATTACTGATTTCTCAGACAACAGCCATAAATAAGGCTTGGAGTGCAAAGTGCCTAGACTGAAGGTGTAACTGAAGAGGCTTGAAGGGAAGAGACAGGGTTGAACTAGTTACAAGCGATGAGAGGACAGGGCTGGGGAGAGGCTGAGGTTTCTGGTAGGGTGTCTGGATGGATGGTCTGGGGGCCCATGTGTGTCTCTATTTGCCCAGGCTGGCTTTGCTGGGCTATGGGCTCTATCAGATGTGCATTGAGGAGCTTTATTCCTTGACTCCTTCCCCTGGGCCTCTGGAGCCGGAGATGACTCCATTCCCACCCCAGAAGAAACCCCTCCCTTTTAGGGCCCCTCGGGCTAGAAATAGACCCCTGTCCCACCCTGGACCAGCCCTGGTGCCCATACCTGGCTACCTAGTCCCCCCTGGTGCTGGTAGAGGGAGAATCTCTCTTTGGCAGACTCCTCGGCGGTGGGGCTGAGGGGCTTAGGGTCGGACAAGGACCGCTGCAGGGTCTTCATGGGGCGAGGCAGAGTCTGCTGGCGAAGAGCGCTGTCAGCCATGAAGTGCTTCTGGGGAGTCACATGAGCCTTGTTCAGCCTTTCACTGGAAGCAAAGGAGGTGTCCAGGAGCCGGTGTGGGGACAAGGGTGAGACTGGTGAGTAGAGAACTTGGGGAGACTTAGGAGGCTGGCGGCTCACAAGCTGTGAAAGGGACTCTGGGGGCAGATGGGCCTGGTACCCAATCTCCAGAGGATCTGGCTTCTTTTTTTCAAATCTGCCTAGGGGACCTGGGGTGACGATCTGGATGCCAGGCAGGTAGGGGCTGATGGCAGTTGACCCGACAAGCTGTGGCCCAGCCACACCCTGGGCTTGTGCATCTGGTTCTGTCTGGCAGGCCAGGCTCTCCCCACGCCCAGTCTTTTCTGGTGCTGATATGTATCTGACTATCTCCACCTTGGGGTCGGTGGCAGCTGTGATATGGATAGCAGGCGAGACCCTGGGCAGCTGGTCAGGCTCCGTCTGTACGGAGCAGTCACTGATGGTCTGGATGCCCACGCTGCTCATGGCCCTCACAGTGGTGGTGGCAGCAGATGATGAGGCAGTGGCATCATGCTTGCTGTCTGAGCCCGAGTCTGAGTGACGAGAAAGACGGGACCTGCGGCGGCGAACTGGTTGCTCCCACTCAGCATTATCCTCGTCATCTGTCTGCACGCTGCAGTCGGCACTGCGACGTGTCCTGCGTCTTCGGGTCAGGAGGTATCGGCCCTCAACGTCCTCGTCATCTGTCTGCACACTGCTGTCTGCAATCCTCCTGACTGTGCAGGGCTCAGGCCCTGACTCTGGCTCACAGGCATCCCTCAGACGTGGCATGGAGTGACGCTTCTTGATGCCACTGCGGCCTGCCTCCCACTGCTCTTCAGTCTGCAGTGACATGTCTGAGGCAGAGCTGGGGAGGCCCCTGTGCAGCATGGGCTCACGAGGCTGGCCAGGCCCCTCGGTTCCTGCCACAGCAATGAAGGCTGTGTGGGTCAGTGGTGGCCAGTACTGGCCATTCTGGGCCAGCTCAGTAGCAGCTGGGAGAGGTCCTCGGCCAGGTGCCTCACAGGTTGCAGGGAAGGGAGCCTTCTGCCGCTGTTTCTGTTCCTCTAGTTGCTGCTGCAGCTGCTGCTGTAGCTGCTGGATCTGCTCCAGCTGCAGCCGCTGCTGTGCCAGCTGTTCCCGCTGCAGTGCAAACTGGGCCTGGCGTTCTTCTTGCTGTTGCTGCAGCACATGGTGCTTGATGGTCTGGAGCTCCTGCAACTCCCGCTGCACCAGCAGTTGCTCTTCCTCACGGTGCCTCTGCAACTCTACCCTCTCTCGCTCCAGCTCCTCCTGCAGCCGCAGTTGTCGCAGCTTCTCCAGCTCCACCCGTTCCCGTTCAAGCTGCAGCAGCTGCTCCTGTTGCTTCCGCTGCCGTTCTTCCTGAGATGTCTCCTCCTTCTCCATCCCAGGCCGGTTGAGGACTCCACTGCCACCCCCAGCAGCAGCATCTCCTGGTGGCTTCTGGCTGGGTAGTGGGGCAGGGGCAGAGGCTACTGGGGCTTCCTTGATGGGGGCAGGGGCAGTTGTAGAAAGAGGTTCTTCCCGTGCAGCCCCCGAGGGTAGCTCTGGCCTTGGTGGACCTCCTGCCCCTGGGGCCTTGGCAGCAGCTGGCTTTCCCAGATAGACAGGCCCCTCAGCTGGTAGAACACTAGAAGCAATGGGATATCTACTTGGCGCAGGGTATCGGTATAGCCCTGCTGGCCCAAGGGGTACCCGGGGAGCAATCATGGGCACGCGTGTCAGGCTGGTAAGAGGCACAGCTGTGACTCCACCAGATGCATAAGGCCTGTACACACCACCACGCACCATGGGTCGCAGTACTGAGGCAGGCTGGGTGGTGATGGGCAGGGTCGCAGCAATTGGAGTATTGATAGTCGAGTAGATCATGCCATCTGCTGCACGCACTGTGGCTGTGGATGGGAGTAGCTGTCTGACTGCTGTTCCCTGGCTTCCTGCAGGCCCATACTGAGCTAGATTCCCAGGGCTTGGTTGACCCTCTGGGTAGGTAGGGTTGCCAAGGAGGCCAGATCTGAGTGGAGCCAGACCCTGTGGAGCACTGAGTCCAGGTGCATGTTGGTACTGCACAAGGTCAGGTCCACCACCTCCACTAACATGCCGCCCACCATACTGGTCCATGGAGTTGAGGGCAGCACACATGCGGCTGATCTCTCGGGCTGTGGTGGCACTATATTGGGCCAGACTGGCCTCCTGAAAGCCAACTGCATCTCCCCGTGGGCCATACCGGTGGTCTGAGTAGATGTTTGACACAGAGCTATAGCGCCTCATGGGAAGTGGATGAGTCAAAATATCTGTGGGATGACGAAGGTCAGTGAACGAGCCATACTGCAAGCCTTGCCCTAGGTAGCGTTCATCTGCAAAGCCTAAGCTATAAGAGTGCTTCAATGAGCTGAGGTCCACAGCTGAGTCTCGTCCAGGCCCTTGGAAGAGCTGTCCAATCCGGTGGGCATGATAGTTGAGGCCAGCTTCGGCCAAATTGGTGTCAGACATGGAGGAGTATAGCCTGCCAGGGAGACCCTGTGGGTAAGGCCTCTGCTCCTCGTGGGGTCCAGGTCCTACTACCCCCTGTGCCCGGTAGGTGAGGTGCTCAGAAGGCTCAGGGTCTCTGGCACTATAGAAAGGACCAGTGCTTTGGCCAGGCGGGACGGCATCTGCCATGTTCTTCTCAGGTGCACTGGGGGCAGGGGGGAAGGTGCCAGTACAACTACTGCCAAAGGGGAACTTGTAGACCATATCACAGCATGCCAGCTGGCTCTCAGGCCTCATCCCAGTGAGGTCCAGGGCACCCACTGGCTCTTCTGGGAGCAATGTAGTCACAGTGCCTGCTGTGCCCTCTCCCATCTGTACCACCACTGTGTGTGGCTTCCTGGCACCTGGCAGAGCATGTGATCGAAGCTCTGCAGGTGTGGCCCGGTGGGGTTCAGCACCAGTCTCTGGCACTGGTCCTGGCTTGAGGCTAACACTCTGGGAGGTACCCATCTGAGTGATCAAAATGTCCCTTCTGGCCAGAGGTGTTACCTGGTTGGGAAGATTATACCTGGCAAACTTGGCCTCCCTGGGTCTTCCCCGGGACCCACCTCTGTATGGGGCTGTCTGGACAGCCTGTTCTACTTGCTTGACCTGAGCCAGGCATACAGGGCTACCTGAACCCTGACCAAAGTCAAGGCGGCTCTGGAAGGGGTCTCCATATACCACAGGTTGCTTCTGCTGAGCCATGAGCATAGATGAGGCCATGGTGATGCTCACGGTGGTAGCAGTGGCCAGGAAGGTATGAGTCTGTTCTTGAGCATTGAGGTTGATAACTAGAGGCTGTACAGCAGTTGACTGACGTCCTGGGATTGGATCCAGGGCAAGGCCATACTTTCTTGCTTCCACAGCAAGAGAGGTCAGATCCATACCCTGGTCTGTAAGGATGATAGGTGTGGGCTTGACAGCTGTTCGAAGGTCTACCACTGCACTACCAGGGAGCCTGGGGCCTGGCTCAACTCTAGATGTTCCAGGGACAGAGGAGATCCGGCATAAGGAGATGTTTTCAGCAGGGAGGGCACCCCAGCCATACAGTGCCAGGGGCCCATCTGCACCAGCACTAGGTGCTCGAGGGAAGCCAGGTGGCCCAGATGGTTCTGAGGGCAATTGAGACCCACTTGGAGGTGTTGTCTGGCTGTAGGTATGGGTGGTAGGCTGGGTGTCAGTAGGTGAGCACAGTGGAGAAGTGGAGGCACTGGCATGTACCATCCTGGTCTGGCTGGAGGCATCTGATGCTAGTGTGATGACCATAACGGGAGCCTCCTGGGAAGACTGCTGCCATACCAGGCGAGGTGTGCTGGGTCGGTGTGGTGTTTGTGTGCCCTGGGCTACCATGGGGCTGGGGGTGGGGGTACTAGGGCTCCGTGGCATGTCTGAGGCAAGTGTTAGGATTGGCGTCTGTGTAGAGAACTCTGCTGTGGCTCTTGGGCCCAACTTGCCTGGGGAGTATGCCGGGCTCTCAGAGGGGGTGGTTGGAGAAAGAGGTGGGCTAGAGCCTGAATAATAGGAATATCCCCGGGAAGGCTGGGGAGTGCCAACCTCACCATCATTCCCACTCAAAGGCTTCTCTCTAGTGACCCGTCCACCCACAATAGAGCCACTGGGAACTTGGGGTGGCTCCTCAGTTTGGGACCCATAGTTAGCAGTGGTTGGGGTCTGTCCATAGCTATGGACTGTGGAAAATGGTGATGGGCTGCGCTCAGAGCCAGCTGGTGAGGTTGGAGTCATATATCCTCGTGGCAGGCTGGCTGGAGAAGGAGCCATAGCTGTGGTGGCTGGGGTACTGGGGCCCTGGGAGAAGGACATGCCTAGTTCCTTAGAGGCCAAGCTGGGGGAGGCAGGAGAAGTGTGGAGCTTGAGGGGGTCCTGAGGCTCTTTTGCAAAATGCTGAGTAACTCGGACATCAGGAATAACTCGGCCTCCACTGCTGTCTGAAGAGGTGGAGGTGGAAAAAGACACAGGAGCAGCAAGTTGAGTGGGACTGGTACCAGGGGTCAGTGGACCACCATTTTGCTTCATTGGATCCATGTATGCACTCTCAGCATTCAGAAATTGCTTCTCTTTCTTTTTGTCCTCAGTAAAGGCCAGGTCCCGTGTGGAGGCCTGCCGCATGCGGGCTATGCTCTGGGATGTCTGAAGGATCTCCTCATACACATTTGCTCCCAGCCCTACAGGTGTGCCTTCTGCACCAGGCTGAGAAGCCCTGCCATAGTCATGGTCTGGGCTGTCTTGATAGTCAAAGGAGCCCTGGCCCTGTGGGCCTGTGGGCTGAGAGGGGCCACCATGGGGCCCATGGACCCCTGCCACCTGACCCTGTTGTCGCTGGAGCATCTCAGCCTTTCTCATCATCTCTTCATAGGCCTCCTCAGCACTCTTAAGGGGTCGTCCAGAACTGGGAGTGGTAGAACTGTCTGAGGGTGTCTCAGTTGGTGAATAGAGGGACATGAAGGTGGGCAGGTTATACTCACTGCCTGATTTGTACAGCCGGGAGGGGCCACCATCCAGGGCTTCAGCCTCTGAGTCAAGGGAGGGGGAGGGGGAGTACTCTGAGCAGGAGGATCGATGTAGCTCCTCCATCTCTGCTGCCTGCCTTAGCTCCTCTGTGGGGGATGCATCTTCGATGGGTGACAGGTTACTGGGCGGTGTCTTGGAGCGCTCACGTCTCCGCTGAGCCCTAAGTTCTTCCTTGTCACGCCGGGTCTTGCGAGCTGTGCTGCGGATGCGCTGCTGCTCTACCTCTCGCATCTTCTCCTGTTCACGCAGCAGTTCTTCTTCCTCTCGCAGCTCTTCCTCCTCTGAAGAGTCCTCAATCGTGGGCAGCAGGGGCCCATGGGACCGGTGCCGGGCCTTGCGCTGCTGCTTTGCCTCTTCTAGCCTCTGTCGGCGGCTGGGGCTGCTGTCACTGTCCTCCTCTAGTGAAGACAGGGAGGTGGGTGAGGTGCCTGATGTATAGCTAGGAGTGGAAGCAGGCAGGGTGGAGGAGTGCTCCCCACGGGAACGGTCCTCAGGTGAGCCTGTCAGGCTCTCCATCTCCAGCTCAGGCTCACGGTCCAGGCTGGAGTCAGGACCTTGGCCCAGGTCTAACTCATGGCTATAGCTGCCCGTGCTGTTGAGCTCAATGGTCTTAAAGCGGCGGAGCCCACCCTGCAAGGCCACACTGCTGTCGGTGGCCTCTGTTGGGCCTCCCTCGGAGAGGGGTTCTTCATAGCCTGTGGTGGCGTTGTGAGGTAGGCGCCTCTTGGGCAGTGCTGTTGGCTCTTGGCTAGGTTCAGTCCTGGACCTAGTGCTGCCCTTCTGGGTGCCATGTTTGGCCAGGCCTCGCCCAGAGACAGCACTATCATTTTCCTCTAGATTGTCCTCCTCAGCACTCATCTCAAGGATCTGCCTCCGCATAAACTCCTCATCAGTCATTTCTGCCCGGGCTGGGGGCTGGGGTGGAAGAGGGGATAGGCCACCCTCACTGCTGTCTTCTACATAGTCATGCCTGAGCTGGCTTCCAAAGTCATCTGAGGACTCAGCTGTGTCCCGTTGTTCCTTCTGGTGCCCCCACCCCAAGGAGTCTTCATCTTCCTCTAGGATATCCCCTAGCTCCTCATCAGAGTCAAAGACCTCAGGCATGATGGACAAGGAGTGGGGTCGCCGTTTCTGGTCCTCAACAGCACTGCTGCTGGGTGGCTTGCTCCGCTCACCTCCGGGGGCCACAGCCTGGGCTTCCAGTAAAGGCTGCATGCTACTCCCCACTTTGTGGAGTTCTGAAGGGCTGGGTGGGCGGTGCCCTGTCACCCCTGCACTGTCAAGCTGTTCCACCTCTTGTTGCACAACACCTGTGATTTCACTCTGAGAACTGGAGACACCATCAGAGGAATAGCCTGTGTCGCTGAGGCTCTGTGGGCTTCGAGACAGGTCCTGAGTGTAAGGCTTGCTGATTGGTTCCTGCAATAGGATGAGAAGCAGATGCTGACTCCTGGCCCTCCCTGTCAATCCCAGGGACCCTAAGGAAGGTCCCTCTACCTCCCAAGGGCTTATAGCCTACTACCCATCCTATGTCTCTGGTCTTGAATAACTTAAAGGTTCCATGGTAAACTCCAAGCAACCCTAGATCTTCAAAGAGAAACTTTACTAGATTGAAGAATGTGAAACCCAGCAAAGCATCCAACAAGGTGCTAGAAACAGGGCAGGTCTCAATCTCAGTTTCTAGACCTGCCCAAGCTTAATCTAGACTTTCCTTCTGCTGGGGCATCTCTGTGGCCCCAGTGGACCATAGACTTACATTCTCAGCCCTGCAGGAAGCAGATCTTTCCTTAGACTATCCCATTTGAAAACTAGGGTCTTTGGAAATTAAACAGAACTGACCTCTGCCTCCCCACCCTTGGGAGCTTCTGGAACAGGCTTGGTGACAGGTTCGGTCCTTCTCACCCCACTTTTTGCTTTAGGAGTCCCAGTAGTCTCTGGAGGTGGCTTCGGCACAGGCTCAGCTTTAGTAGGGACGCCTGTTTTCTTTTCCTGGGCACTGCTGGAGGTCTTGCTGGGTTCAGAAGCCCTGGAGGGCTTGGCCTGTGGGCTGGCCTTAGTAGGCAGGGGGCTGGCCTTGGCGGGCAGGGGGCCTGATGGCTGGCCTAACCCCTGTGGCCCTTTCTGCTTTGGAGGGGCTGGTCCAACTGCACGGTGACGGGCTCCTGCAGGGGGCTGCTGTGAAGTGGGCATCGGCAGAGGAGTCGGTTCTCCCAGGCTGCCCTCCAGCAGCCGCTTAGTTTGGCAGTTCAGACAGAGCCACTCTGTTTTCTGCAAGGGAACAGGAGGGAGGTTGATGGACATCACATAGACATGGGAGTACTCAGAAAATATTTCCACAACTCTTCATCACCTTAGGGGAAGAGAAAGTCTCTCTCTCTCTCTCTCTCTCTCTCTCTCTCTCTCTCTCTCTCTCTTTCATTGAACTCAATTAAATCCAGGGCCTTTTGTACATTTTAGGCAAGTACTCTATCACTGAGCTATACCCCCAGCCTGAAAAAGTCTTTCCAAAGCATGAAACCAAAGTCATAAGGAGAAAAAGACTGATAGCTATATTGCCCCCAAATTATAAACTTCTCAGAGACATATATAGAGTCAAAATGCAAATTAAAAACTGAAAAGAAAGTTGCCTTCCTCAACCCATGGACAAATTTTTCTGCACCAAAGAAGGAGGAAAATTAAGAGGAAGGGCAACCTATAAACAATACAAGGGTTTGTGAACAAGCACAAGGAAAGTTGGGGCCCCAACCTCAAGGACTGAACTGGAACTCAAGGGTTGCATAGAGCCCAGCAATCAAGAGACCCTGCAGAACAGGAATGGCATTCAGACACCTAGGGAACATACTCTGGAGGCACTGTTCTTCCCTGCCTCCTAGTTCTCAGGTCTGACACTATCCTGCAAGTCCCTTCCCCAAATAAGGGATATGCTAGGCAGGGGCAGACTCCTGGGGCCAAGAAACACTCTCTGGGAATCAGGGATGAGAGTCCTCTTAACTCACACCTCCAGCCCAAGTCTTCTTGTCTAAGGCCAGTAAAGAACTCCAAGAAGACCCTGGACTGTTCTCTGATGGAGAACTGTATGTGGTGGCCCTTGGGCCAAGAGCCCTGCTCCTTCCAGACCTGGAGTGGAATCAGTTCTTTTTTTTTTTTTTTTTAAATGTGTATGAGTGTGTTGCTTGTATGTATGTGTGTGCACCCGTGTCGTACAGTGCCACGGAGGTCAGAAGAGGGCTTTAGATTCCCCTAGAACTGGAGTTAAGGACGGTTCAAAGCTGCCATGTGGACGCTAGGAATCAAACCCGGGTCCTCTGCAAAAGCAGTCAGTGCTCTTGACCACTGACGCCTGGCAGGATCAATCCTTTTTTAAAAGAATATTTTATTATTTTTCGCTGGGCATGGTGGTGCACGCCTTTAGTTTTGCCTTTTTGAGACAGGGTCTCTCTGTAGCCCCAGCTGTCCTGGAACTCACTTTGTAGACCAGGCTGGCCTTGAACCCACAGAGATCCACCTGCCTCTGCCTCCCAAGTGCTGGGATTAAAGGAGTGCGCCACCACACCCAGCCTTATTATTTTTATTTTATGTGTATGAGTGTATTGCCTACATGCATGTAAGTGCACCCATATCATGCATGCCCATGGAGGTCAGAAGAGGGCATCGGATCCCCTGGACCTGGAGTTACAGATGGTTGTTAGCTGCTATGTGGGGGCTGGGAACTGAACCAGGGTCCTCTGCAAGAGCAGCCAGTGTTCTTAACCACTGAGCCATCTCTCCAGCCCCTGGGATCAATTCTTGATCATCAGTCATCACCCTCAAAATCACCAACTGTTTCAGGGCCAGAGTTGAAGGCTAAAGACACACTCACAATGAAGAGAGATAAATAAGGTCCATCCATCAATGTTATGGCTTAAATGGGAAATTTCCCCCATAGGCTCATGTATTTGAATACATGATCATTAGCTGGTGGTACAGTTTTGGGAGGTTGTGGAACATTTTGGACATGGGTCCTAATAGGGTGGACCTTGAAGGTGACACCCACTTTTTGGTTCTAAGCTCAAACCCTTTGCTTCCAGATCTGTCAAGATGCAAATAAGCTAGCTGTGCCACAAGCTTCTAGTGCCATAGACAGAGTTGTCCAAGCTACCATGGCTTACTTGCCACGATGGACTGTCCCCTCTAAACTGTGAGCCAAAATAAATCACCTCCTCCTTTAAGTCACTTCTGTCAGGCATTTGGTCACTACAATGAGTAAAGTAACTGATAGCCTTCCTGGAACACATAGCCCCAAACAGGCCATCACACATATGACACAGGTATCAACAGCAAAGGCCTCAGAACACCAGAAAACTCCAGCTGGCTACATAGGGGTGGGGTTGGGGCATCCCTGGTCTCTGAGTAGGTGATTCCTGCAGCAAGTCTGAGGCTGACAGGGATATGTCTCCTATGATCCACCTCCAGGGTTAGGATTGGTTGCTCTGACTTGGCCACATGGAGTAATGGGAAATGGGGGCTGTAGCACAGCCCAGAGCAGGGCCCCTCTGATCACTCAGTTTGCTCTTGCCCCTGGGGTGCAGAAGCTTGGCAGTCCTTCTTTCTTGATGCTGTTCAACCCTGGGTGCCTAGGTACTTGGGCTCTACCAGCAGCTGTGCCATGAGGAGGGGCCATTATGAAAACTACAGAGTCACAGAGCCAGGGTACAGGAAAAGGAGGTAGCCTTTGGCTCTTGCTGCCCCACATAGGCCAATAGCCTCAGCATGCTTACCTCACACATTTGTCTCTGAGCCTAAGATAGACTGTGGCCCACAGGACAGAGCCTTGGCAGCCTAGTACCCCCAGGATGCCTGCCCTCACTCTGGCATGCTCAACTCACAATGGCAAGTACCATGTCAATGATTCTGCCCTGGTGTGCTGCACAGAGCTACATTCCAACCTCTGCCATAGGCCTGAGTCTATGCCTGTCTGTGTAGGACACCAGGTTTTGGTGTGTGTTGGGGAATAGACTGTTCCACAAGCATGTATTCACCGTGTACACTGTTTACCTATGGACCAACCCCTTGCAGAAATCCTGGGCAGAGGAATGAGGGGAATGAGGCAGTGGAGGGGACTCATAACGCTAAATAGACTCAATCTGCTTCCTGCAAGGCCTAACACCTAGTACCATTCTGACTTCTTGGGACCTTATCTGATGTTCAAAGAGGCCTTTCCACACACAAGTTCCTGTGAATGCTAACCACTAACTAGGTCTTGAGTTCATTTGGCCTGGCAGGGTCCATCCCTGAGGTGCCTAGGAAGAGTTCTGGACAGGATGAGCCCCAGCCCTGAGATGGACAGAACATGGGAGAATAAATAACCCCTTCCCTGGTCCTAGGATCAGCAAGATGGGTTTAGGACCTGGGTGTACACAGGAGGCTGGCTCAAGACAATACCACCTTAACTCCACTTTGGGTCCTTGCACACATTCCTCCTAGGGTAAACTTCACGCAGTTGAGTCATCTTCCCTGGTCACCTTGGTGGTTTGGCAAACCCCTGACCTCACCTCTGGCCTGTAGAACCTACCCCAGAGGCAACAATATAAACAAAGCAGGGGCACCTTGCAAGAAGCTATGAATGAAGGAGACAAACTCAGCATTCTGGATCAGGCCCTACAGAGCCTTGCTGACCTGAGCCCATGAGCACATCCCTCAGTAGGCCATGCTGTGGTCACATGCTCTCTGGGGCTTTGCTCCTTCACAGGTTTATTCATGGAAGCAGCCAGCTTACAGAAAGGTTTCCTGGTGGCTTTCTTGCTCTTGGCTCTACTTTAGTTAGCAGTGTGAAAGGGCGGGTGGGCAGGAGGCAGTGTGTGAAGTAAGAGCTAAAAATACTTGACCTGGCTGCTGGAGGCCCTTCCCCAGCCCACTGGGAATGGGAGGAGAAGTATAAAAGGCACTGGGGCTGGGAGGGGTAGAGCCAAAGATTTGGCCAAAGCCTACATTTTCTGGGGCCAGGGGCTAGGTGGAAGATAGGCCACATTGAATATCTGTGCCTAGGGGTTGGCACACAATTGCTGAGGTCCCAATTAATTTACTCAGTCTACTCTAAACTCCCCACCCCAATGTGTCCCCTCCTCCACCCCTGATCCTCCTCTTCCTCCTCCTCCTCCTCCTTCTTTTGGTCTTTTTGAGACAGGGTCTCCCTGTAGCCCCAGCTGTCCTGGAACTCACTACGTAGACCAGGCTAGCCTCAAACTCACAGAGATCTGCCTGCCTCTGCCTCCTGAGTGATGGGATTAAAGGTGTGCACCACCACGCCCAGCCCCCCCATCTTTCATTTGTTCATCCACTGTTTTTCATTCATTCCTTCACTTTAGTCTTTATTCCTTCATTTCATTCATTCACTGTACTTTTGTTCATATTCTCCCTCAGTCAGTCCCAGCCCTTAGGGGTATGACTGCCTGTTTTTCTCTTTTGCTTGGCACCTTTGGTAAGTGACCAGAGAATGGACAATGGGGAGGGAGGCTCTGATGACCACTTCCTAACTTGTCTCTGTTCAGTACTTTCTGGGACAGAAAGATACAAATCTCCCAAGAACAATTATCATCTCAAAGGGGGAGATAAGATGTGCCTGCATCAGATGGAGCTCAGTGGTTCAAGATATCACCTGATACCTTTGTACTCTGTACAAGTATCCAAGATACTGAATCTCATCTGCTTCTCATAGAAGCCAAAGTTGATTGTTATTGCTTCCATTCCACACAGAAGAAGAAAGTTGAGTGAGAAAGTATGGGTTACCCCACAAGCACATGAGAACTACTGCCTTCTGAACCACTGACTAGTGTGCCCTGTGGGCCCAGGGAGACCTGCAAGGCTGTGTTGAGTGCGGGATACTCCCTGCACTGTCTGCCATTGTCTGAATGAGGCTACAATGTATATGTTCTCTGTATTTGTGGAGCTGGTGTGTGTGTGCCAGTCTAGCTATCAAGATACTATCCTTGGGGCTGGAGACATGGCTCAGCGGTTAAGAACACCGATTGTTCTTGCAGAAGACCCAGGTTCCAATCCCAGCACCCACATGACAGCTAACAACTGTCCATGGCTCCAGTTCCAGGGGATCTGATAGCCTCTTCTGTCCTCCGAGGGCATTGCACCACATGGGTGCACTTACTTACATGCAGGCATAACACTCATACACATAAAATAATAAATAAAATATTTTTTAAAAGATACTATTCTGGGGCTGGGCGTGGTGGCACACGCCTTTAATCCCAGCACTTGGGAGGCAGAGGCAGGCAGAT